AATAATGAGTGCTGCTCAGCATGCACATCTGTGCAAGTGATACCTTTCAGGTACTGTGCATTTAGGAGACAACGAGGCTTTTGATTTGTTTTATTACATCAGCAAGTTTCAGTGTCACTTGGGGTGGACATTTGATGGAATACAGTCAGTCACTAAGCCAGAAGCTGGAAAAAAGGACCTCACAGTCAAGATTGATTCAATTATGCCTTTAGACACCTCTGAAGAGGATAAAGAAGTCAACACATTTCTAGAAAAGAGATTCCTACTAGCCTTTCACTGAGAAAACATCATCCCGCTCTGACTCACTCCTTCTCTTCTCGCTGTTTTTTTGCGTGACCAGGCAACTTGACCCTTGAGCTCTGGGTTCCTTATTGAATCTGTTTTTGGCCTGGCTTAATTTGCTGGTCGGACCAAACAGGTCTCGACTACAACAACACACCTGCCTGCTTGCCAGACGTGTTCTTCTACTTTGAACTAGAGCGCTCAGTACTCACATACTGACGCTGTGTCAAGCTTCTGAAGTGCAGATGTTTTGAGTTCACCTACTAATTCCAAGATTGCTTAAAAGTGTTTCAAACATCTCAATTTGAGTTTTTTTTAATTTTTTTTTATTAGAGGGTAAACAACAAATGATATTCCTAAGCCAACATCATTCTCTGTGAAGGTAATAAGCAATAAAACTCGTCTTAGCCTCAGCACATTCAGGAAAAATAAGAAAGCTAAAACATGCTGTGCGCTGCTGCGAGTCACCCTGTAAAGCCTAAAATAAAAATATAAAAGCCAGAAGTGTTGGGTGGAATTTCATAGGAGTTTTTGGACCACATTATACGTCTTTACATAATAACATCACACACAGAGCCTCAAAAAGAAGGTTCAGCCTGATGTCAATGACAATAGTAGATAATTCACTCACATCCTCGGAAGACAGGCTGTTTACCAAGTTCGGACTGAGGTTTCTTTGAATACTCTTTCAACATGCTCGCAATGTATCAGATCCATCTGTTTGGGGAAGGGTTTCCGAAGCATAACCGATGTTATAAAATGTTCTTCAGCACATTGAATGCAATTACACATTTCCACCACAGAGGTCTCCAAATCCCCAAAATGTACATAGTGTAGCTATCAATAAAAAAAGGTGAAGACATATAAATTAAGCAGTTGTCCTTTTTGTATTCCCAACCCATCTAGCCTAAATATAGCCTACCTTTTTAAAAAATTCTTAGTAATTATAATTGCTCTAATTATTGTTATTTTATTGTCATACACTTGAGACACTCCTGTCTTTTCATTAGTTTTTATTCACTGTAAACATTTTTAATGATGATTAGAAAATGAATATGAAAATAAGAACTGAATAGGACATCACCAGAGAGATGGGTGTCAAATATTTAGAAACTTCTAGCCATCTTTGAAGCAATCACCTTGAATGTTTTTGTGTTTCATTTCATTTTGTGCATCACTGCTTTTAATTACGCTGTTTGATGGACTGTGGGTGACAGAAGGTCTCGAAGGATACACCGATTGAATCCTTTGCTTTTTCTGAAGTGAAGCATTTCTCGCATTTGCAGGATCTTATAAAACTAGACAGCCTTCACTGACATAACAGCCAAAACAAGACACCCTTGGATTTGATATTTTGGGCTAAATGTGGCTAAAAAAAGTAGATTTATAAGGTTGGGAAACTTGAGTGTGAAATATCTAATTCAAAGCCATGCCTGAAGGCGGAGCTCAAAGTAGGGGGCGATGGTGCGCTCTTCAATAATGTCCAATGGACAACAAGCTGATCTTTAACCCAGGATATAATGTAAATTGGCATAGATGAAAAATTGCATCGTATGCAGCTGTTTATTGCATGTTTGGAGAAAATAAATGTAAAATTAAAGCTTACCTCTCACAAGAGAAAAACTGTTCTGTAGCTAGCTTGTTGTGCTTGTGTTAACGACAGTACTCAAGACGCTAAAAGAGCATACACCCTTTTAGCGAGGTTTAAAGGTGCAACTCTCAGAACTTCATAACAAGCTGACTGGTGCCAGAATGTGGTGCAGGGAGACGTTTGGAAGAAAAGCTTGCTGCAACCAGACATGGTTTTCTCCCATGCTTGTTTTTGGTCTCCCATGCTTGTGGTGTCCCAAGTCAAAATGTCTTGAATTCAATGTGGGTATTGTCAGTGCACCAAGAAGTCTCGAGAGCACCATGTCTTTCATAATATAATAAGTCGCACTGAATTACTACTCTAGCTAATGACATTACAACCTGCTGACACCAATTTAGTCCACTTAAGCCAACCCTCTCCATCTCCTAGCATATCTGCTGTTCAAATCCAGGGCATAGCACCTCCAGCTGCTCACAAAAGGAACTACATTGCAAGGGGGTTCAGGATGGACAGAATGACCAGAATATTTGGTGCTAATCCTCGAAGCCAGCAATAAAATAAAAAGCATATCTCATCCAAAGGGAATGCTTTGAGGTGAGGATTGAAGTTGGCCTTTCCTAGACTTAATTTTGAGCCAAAGTGGGAAGGAGGTGGGCAAGACAGAGTTTAAACAAAACTGGGTTACACATAAGGTCATCCAAGTGACCACTGAAAGGAAAAATGTGAAAAATGGGAGAAAGGGAGGGATATGAAGATGAAAAGAGAGAAAGGGAGTGGAAACGAAAGACATGTTTGTGCATAAGCAGAAGCCATAAGAGCGCTATTTAAAAGCTTTTGAAAGATCTCCATAGGGACAGTGCTGTCACACAAACTGTCGTCACTCTCAACTGTCTGAGCATCTGGTGTTCACATCTGCAGGACCCAGAGAGGAGCCCCCAAGTACCTCCTGGGGCACAGGGCCAACAATAGTGGGGTTTAATCACACACCACTTTAACAGCCTGTCAAGGTCTGGTTTCTGTTACATACATACACCAGCTTGTATTCCTGTCTTTGTTGGTTATTCCCACTGACTTCTGTGTTACTATAGCTAAATGCTGCGGTTTTTCATCTGAATTCAAACCTAACCTGAACTTCACTAACTAAAGATAGAAAAAGCAGAAAAGATTAAGAACTAAATATAATTTCAAACATTTTGGTATTTGGTGAGTCCACTCTTTGTATTTATTACAGCTTCCATTCTTTTTGGGAGCTTTTCTGGGGACTTGTTTTCAGTTTTTCAAAGAAACCTGCAGGGATATTTTCCTGGCTGCATTTTCTGCTTTTCACAAGTAATCCCAATTACAAATTTAGACTCATCAGTCCATGAAACCTCTCAAATGGTCTACCGGGGTCTTGCACAGTTGTTAGGAATCCCATTTTCTACATAACATGTAATCATTTTTTTAACTCCATAACTTCCGTTTTCTTTCCCTTTATTTTCCATCAACATTCTCCTTTCTTCTGCAAATGAACTATCTTATATATAATCCCAGAAATATCTCCTTTGTTTCACCATTTTAGTTTCACACAAGAAAGAAAGGCAGCTGAGGTGTGTTTTGGTATTAAATGTTAGTGTCTCATTGTGTTCTAGGGGAACACAATGTCCATGACTCCTTTGTGAACACCTTTTGCTATGAACTCGTTTTTAAGATTGGAAAGATGGGAGAGTTTAAGTGGCAGTAGGGTGCACAAAAGTACATAGAGGTCAAATTATATTCTGATAGACTTGAAATTATACTTTGTGTCTATGTCATTTCCTGGTAAATATAAGTTTTTGTTTTTTTGCTGACATTGACCATTTTGACTGGAAATGAAATGAAACACTTTTTCACAGTGCTGTAGGTACTAGCCAAAAGTACCCATCCACAAAATGTTCAGTTCTTTTCATTTTACATTTGGTCCCCACTAAAAGCTAAATACACACAGACAGACACACACACATAAAATAATGTCATTAAGACTCTAAAGAGCCTCAGCCATGCACACTCCCCTCATACGAACACAGGCAGGAAGAGCCATGTAATTAGATCATCTAATGAGTGACAAAGAAATACTGAGAAACATATAAAGCTCTTTGCTGAAAACAAGCCAAGCAATGCCGTAAAGATGAAATCGTACATCCTGCTGGGGATAACTATATTATCAAGAAGCATCTAGGGACATACAATCCTTGCATGTTGTTTAGTCATATGATAGACACTTTGGCACCGAATAAAGAAACATGTTGCTGATATTTCTCATAGATAAGTTGTGAACTGCACTGTGCAAAAATCAGAGACCACCTTTCATTTCTATGTACTTTTCAGTCAAAACGACCATTCGGCACAAGTTATTTATTTTCAGGAGATATTTCTGAAGAGGTAAGACACAACAGATATATCATGAAGAGGAAAGTCAAGAAGAAAATAACTAAAAAAAAACCCAACCCCAACAAACAGGAGCTGCCAAAAGTGGAGTTCAAATAATTATTAAAAGACAGTAAAAATTGGACTCTTAACAACCATGCAAGTCCTGGTAGACCACCTCATAAAGCACCATATAAACAGGACTTAAAGCTTTCATCTTTGAGAGAGATGAGAAAATCAAGCTCCACTTTTGCTTCAGACCTGAAAATATCCACAGGTGCTTCTGTCCATCTTTCCACTGTGAAAAAAACATCAACACTATGAATCTGAAAAGGTGCGCAGCTGTCGAGAAGCTGTTACTGAGAAAATGAAATAAACAAAAATATGAAAATTTGCAAATAACAAAGAAGCCGCTGGTGTTTTTAGAACAATGGACTGACCATCTCAGGGTCCAGAACACAACGTCATTGAATATATTTAGGATTACTTGTATCAGGAAAAGCAGAAAATGCAACCAACTTCTAAGACTGAACTTTGGAGGCAAGGAAAAATATATCTTCAGATTTCTTTGAAAACCTGAAAAAAATATATGCTGAAAAATGTGACATTTAGTTGTTGAGGCTTCTGTGTAATATTCTGTTAAACTTATGTTTTCTGCTCATTTCCATATGCTGAAAAATGAATAACTTGTACTTGGAAATTAAATAAATGAAGAGTGGTCTGTAACTTTTTGTACTATATGTTGCAGCAGTGCAATATTGCAGCAGGCTTGCATGTGTTTTTTTTTTCTCTTCCTAAATGAAACTTGAGCATTCACAGCTTTTCATAAATAACAAGCAGCCTAACCCACTGGTTTTCATCTTCATCGTGTTTATTATTAATACATTACCAAGGTTCCTGGCACTACAGTTGGAATTCATGTTTTTAATTTGCCAGAGAAAGGCTCACTCAGAGTGTACTTGGAAAAACAAAAGGACAGAAAGAAAAATAAGAGAGAAAGTTGGACACAGTCTTTCTTACATAACTTTAATGTGGTGACTGGCCACATTTACTTCAACCAGGGCTCGCATGATCAATTGATAACAGGTATGAGGTACCACACTGACAACACGGCTTCCGGCCATCTTGGGCCATAACAACTTTAAATGATCTTGAGAGCTCAGCAAGTTGTCTGCTTGCCTGAGATGAAAGTTTCACTCTTCATGGAAGTACTGCGCACTTGTACAAGGTAGAAATATCCTCCTTCAGTTTCCTGAATTCATCATATGCTGATTATCCTAGCACTTGACAGCGCTTCCGCTTAAATTGTTTGCATAGAGTGAGAAGTGGCCCGGTGGGATGTGCATCTAGTTGAAGCTGTGAGTTTAATGGTCTGGATCCAAGATGTGCGCAAAGCTGAGTGAATTAATCTGATGAAGTTAAGCTCTGCTGGGGAACCAGAGCGTCTGTCCTGCGTCAGAAAGTGTCCGCGTGAATTGTAGGACTTTGGTGTTTCTCTTAAACAGATGGATGGTGAGGTAAAAGGAAATGAGCAACAATTGTTGTGCAATTTGTAGCCATTTGCAGGTCACCCAGACATCACAAAAAGGGCTTTTGCGCCTCGTCAACCTCTTGTATGAAAAAAAACGTTTTGAGCAAATGCAGAAGAACTCTGGATGACCAGATGACCTGAGAGTTTCCAGCAGAAAGCAAATAATAATAATAACGTGGTGGTGCTTCTCTGGTCAATGATATTTATTTTTTGGTGGAAACTCTCAGGGAATCATTCTGCCAAATAATAACTTGGGGCTGCACATCTAGTTTGGCAGAAAATGACAAAAGGTGGACAACCTACAAGCTCTCATCACCAGTTTCTTTCAGAAACTAAATTTAGAGTTAGATGACATTAAGCAATATACAATATATGCAGTTGCGCTATATGATGTGTAAAACTGTGGAGATGATGGGCCACTTGAAGTCAGAGTGTCGAACAGCCTGGGGCACTTCACTGCACAATCAGTGGCTCATTGCTTTAAGGTGGAATCAGAAGCAGATGGGAGCACTTCAGTGCAGCCTGTGTTGCTGTTGACCAGAAAATTGTCAATTTCGGCGAAATCAAAGGCTCGATCAATTCCAAGGGCTTTCACCCCGTCTTATCACGCACAATAGTTAATGTTGACTCCAAAAGCCAAAATACTTGAGACAAGTCTGGAAAATCAATTTCACACCAGTTTGCAGCATGCAGCATTTGACTTCAATTAGGCTTGTCATGGTTTTGCTCCAAAAACTGATTTACAAACTGAATCAATAATTTGGTGGCCCGTTAAACCCTTAACGATCAAGTCACAAACGGCCTCTTCCGATTTCATTTATCATCTGATAAATGAGGCTGGTGGTCCACAGACGCTAGAGAAGAAACTCGGTGCCCCCTACCTGCAAGACAATGTAGAACAGATGTCAGCTGAGCAGTGTGACTAGCATTAGCGTTGCTCACAGGAGGGCTTATTGTCTTCTCTTACTGGCTAGCGTACCATCAACATTCTTGTGGGGGCAAAACAAGACCACCACTTTTATTTTTTTCACCCTGAATAGAAAAAACTCTTGCAAACAGGCCAACGCAGGAGGGAAGCAGCCCATTTACTGGGGCACCAAGCCAAAGAACGAATTATGTGTAGGAACCACAGCACTGTCCAAATGCAAATGTATGGGCAACTGAGGGTAAAAAAGAGCTGGAAACTGTGCCATCATTCACACAGCTTGCTCATCCTCAGCCGCTGATAAACAGGAACACATGGAATGATGGTTTAGGGGTAGGCATGCCCTAGCCAATACATGATGATAAAATGAGGAAAAGAAATCAGAGAAGACAGATCTACTGTTGAAACCTCAGTGAGGAGTTTCAGAATCAACAAAGAAGCTGCCCAAGCACGTAATCTTCAAAACCTCTGAAGATCAGCTACAGAGCATGTTTACCTCTTCCAAGTCTCAGAGCTTTGAATTCAAGATCTAACAGTTTTGTAAATAACCACAGTTAAAGGTTCTACATTGGACTGCGAAACATTAATGCAACTAGTTGCATGTTGCAAGTTGCTTGCGATATTATTTCTGTGCAACTTGACAGACACATGAAGCAATTCAAAAACAATCAATCAAATCTGCACATAACACATACAGCTACTCCACTATTTATAAGCCAAATCAGCAGGGGGATGAGAGAGGGATTATTTTCTTGTCCACTGATCCACTGAAATCAATGGTCTGAAAGTATGTCTTTCAACAAGATCATGTAACGCGTTTTGGCGTTTTGATTGGCTGTTTCATAAAACTTGTTCCAAGTTGAGACACTTGCAACTGTTGCAGCTGAGTTTCAAGTGAGTTGCCTTTTTGTGGGTCTGTTGGTATTTTTTTCAAATTCCTTTTTGCTCTGGGTAGCAATTTGAGTGAAGCGTCTGCAGTGTTTATTTGTAAATGGGCCATGTTTTGAATAGTAATGGAAAGGGGAAGGCACGCTGGCAGTGCCTCTCCAACTAATTTCGGTATTAGCAGAATAAAAAATAGCAAATTTTCTATTCCAAGCTTTATCAACACCATCTGTCGGTCCTGTGTCAACTCTTGGCTCCTATTTGGGAAAGCTGCCTCACCACTGAATCGCTGTCTTTTTCCAGAGATCTTCTCCAATCCAACACTGTCAGTGAATTGTGAAATATTTGATAGTGTGCCACCCTGAATTTTGTTTCGGACCATCTCTTTATGCACGAAATGTTCAAAAGGGACTACCTGATCTGTCCTCCTATTTGCTTGAGATCCATCAAAAATGTATCAGTAAAAACTCTTATTATTGAAGATATGCAATGTAAAAATGACAATAAAATTCTCACCAAGTAGTCTTACAAAAATTTATTTAGTCTGTGCTAGTCCTTGCTTCTTGCAGCTTCCTGAAGCCTGTGAATCTGCTCCAGTTACAGAACTATTAGGAGCTTCCGGCATGTCTGAGATTGTCCTGGTTCACCTGTCTCCATCGCTGCCTTCCTCGGTTCCTACTACGCTGTGGAGCCTGCGGGCGCGGATGGGCGGCAGCTGTTCATAAGTGCTGAAGCCAAGCTGACTGTGCTGCTCAGGCAGGAAGTAGAGCAGCAGGTGGCTCCTTAACACCTGGGCCAGTGGAGAACATAGGCAGAGGGTATGAGAGAGAGAGCGAGGGAGAGAGAGAGAGAGAGAGAGGGGGGGAGAGAGAGAGAGAGCATGAGAGAAAGAGAGAGAGAGAGAGAGAGAGAGAGAGAGAGAGAGAGAGAGAGAGAGAGAGAGAGAGAGAGAGAGATGCACATACAGCTTAACAAGTAAATCACAGCAGGGCTGTACCTCATCTGTCAGGTAGTATGTCTTTCTCAGCAGGCTCCGGCGTGTAGCCTCCACCTCCTACAGGAAAAGAGCATAAGAAGACCAATGACCCTTTCATCCTTAACTCAAAGAACACTAAAAACAGCAAAATGTGTGCAGAAGCAATCTATCAAGTTCACCTTACACCAGACATCAAACAAAACCACTCAGTTCATCATGATGTATTACAGCCCAGCATGCGCCTACTGATGATGTGCGTATTTCATTCCTCTTTCTGGACCCTATTTTACAATCAGTTCCAAGCCCTTGAACACTACTTAAATTTCCTGCGGAAGACTATTACAAAACGACCGATTCCCTCATCTTCTCTCGGCTGTCAAACAAGCCATTTATCATGACTGGCTGAAATTTCTCCATGAGCTTTCAAAAGTTTCTCTTTCTGTCAGTCTCACCTGGACTTGCTTTCTGACAAGTCATTGTTCACTGTTGACAGAATAGGGTCAAGTATAGCTCACAGCTTCATTCAAGGAATTATAAGACTTTACTTGTCTTTAAAAAGGGACACAGGAGTACCAATGGCTTAGTTCCAACTTAGAAAAATTAAGGTCCCTCTTAACTATTTGCACTGGGAAAATCCATACTGCAGCAGAACAGCTCCTTCCGTTTCCAGCCAATATCGTTCCAATTGTTACTGACATCTGCCCACAATAACTCTTAAGAAAAAATATCAACACTACAGTATTCAAGAGCAGAAACTCCCCTGGACCACAGACTTGCCAGGAGAGAAATGGAAGTGAATAAGTGTTCACTTTCATTTAGATTGGAATCAGGCCAATATGCATAACACACATTTACAGTGGGTGTAAAAATGCATTGATCTGAAGCTGGGATTCAACTGCATATATGTGGAGTATGTATTTGATTTCTGAAGTGAAAAAAGCAAATCTCTGCAGCAAACTGTTTAAAAAAAATACCATTTGTACCTCAAATGTTAATGCACATTTACTTTTTATTTCATGAACTTGAATGACCCCCTTTGGCAGAAATCACAGCTTGCAAACACTTTTTGTAGCCAGCTCAGAGTTTTTCTATACTTGTTTTAAGAATTTTCACCCACGCTTCCTTGCAATATTCTTGGGCTGTCTTGCATGTACAGCATGTTTAAGATTCACAAACTAATTTTTAATGATGTTTAAGTCAGGGGACTCAGTGCCATTTTAAAAGCGTCTGTTTGCATTTCTTGAAGTAGATCGTGGTGGATTTTGAGGTATGTTTTGGATCACTGTCATGTTGCAGAAGCCAGCCTCTCTGACTGTCAAATTTGCTTCCAAAATTTGAGGATAATTAGTGGAATCTGTTCTTCCATCCATCTGTGCAATCATTTCTATGCCACTGGCTGCCACACAATAGATCCACCCCCATGCCTACAAGTTGGCAAGTGTTCTTGTCGTGAAATGCAGCTCCTTTTTATACACATTTTGTGAATGTGGCCAAGTAGTTCCATTTTTACTTCATTCATCCACAACACTTGTTCCTGTAATGTTTCTGGCTTAACTAGACGTTGTTTTGCATATTTCAGACATTTAATTTTGTGATGAGGTGATCATGTAGATCATGTTTGTGCAAGTTTGTGCACAGTAGAATGGTGCACCACCACTCCTGTGTCAACTAAACCTTCCTGCAGGTCCTTTGCTGTCACATGGGGGTTTGCTTTGACTTTTTGGTCTTTTTGGTTTTTTAGACTTTTTTCTATTGGAAAGCTTTCTTGGTCCTTCTTGGTCTGGAAGCACTTTGATATACTTTTATTTTTATTTGTTTTGATACCTTCCCCTGCCTTGTAGGAATCAATTAGCTTTACTTTCAGAATCTCAGCCAGTTGCTTAGAGGAGCTCAAGGTTGTTGACTACTTACTACTTTACTTTTCAAATATGAAGTAATTGTTCACTATAATCTGCAGAAAAATGTTATTTCTTAAACTAGTTTTCTGGAAGGTTATGTTTACTGTTTTTAATTGCTCGTTGCCTCACATACACACAGGGGTAAGAAAGAAAGAAAAGAAATCGAGTTTTTCTGATCGATTTTATAACTTTGTAAAGAACTGGAATATCACTGTGAGATATACATTCTTATCACATACCTGTGGTGCTTCATCTTGGGAGAACATAAAGGCGTTGAGGTGGGCGACAGCCACCACGTAGAGCACAGGACACCAGCTCCTCCTCAGTGCTCCAGTGACCAAGGCACGAAAATAGAGACGCAGCAAAGGCAGTGAATCCTCTGGTGGCGAGGTGAAATTCTCCAAAGGAATGGGTAGCTGAGCAGAGAGAACACAAATCAGCCCTAATCAGATGGAATGTCTCATTTTATTGTGTTTTGGAACACAGCACTGAAGGTCCTGGATTAGGGAGATTTTGTAAGGTCCTCATTCTGATGGAAAGAGTGTATAGAATCTTTAAGAAGAGAGAGAGTGTTCAGGTGCCCATGGACTGTTCATTATAACTTCATCGGCTGAATCAAGTGGGCACCAAACCAAGTTCATTGAAACTTCTAAGGTTTATTCATTACTATGTCAAGATTTTGCCTTTTATGGTGAAAGCAATGCAAATTTAAAAACTAAAAGTAATACATATAGTAAAGTTGTTAATACTGGCTTTGATTAAAACTCATAAGTGTGATGTTGAAAGAACTAGAAAAAAAAAACAAACAAACTAGAAACTAGAAAGTAGAAATAGGAAGAACTAGAAACTAGAACTAGAAAGCTCATCCATGTTAGATTTTGGGCTGTATCTCTGTTAAAAGAGTGTGACCAGGGTTGAATGATTTTCACTTTTTCAAAATTTTCAATAGGTCTTTTGTTAAATATTCCCACAGATGATGATATCAGTCTTATTCAGAAATAGTGATGCACATTTTATACGTGGACCAAACAGCTGTATTGAAAAGTTCATTGAAGTGCCTGTCGTTCAAATGTGTTGAAAAAAAAAAATCTCTTGAAAACATTCTTTACTGGGGCAGAACAGGCCACTTAAATCACAGGAACTACAGTGAAATGCCACAGTGAAAGGCTTTTTTTGCTAAAAAGACTAGGATGGTGTTGGATACAGAAACAGTTAAAATGTGTGTCTCTGACAAACCAACATGCTGGCACACTGTCCACTGAAGAGGAAAAACACATGCAGATGTGTCCATCAGCATCCAGTGTTGTACCATTTAGCTGTAATTTTAACTGATTAGCTCATCTGAGGCTTCTCTATTAAAATTACTCATGCGCCATGAAAATCGACTTATTTCCCTCAGCTATTTTTGAATAATAAAGCATGTTTTGAAAACTATTCCACCGTGTGATGCTTAATTTTTGTGCAACACCAGCGCTGTTACCTAAAAGAGTAAGTCGCTGTTCTACATTAATTTCAGCCAAAATCTCTTTTCTTTTTTGCGCATCGTTTTTCTCTTCTCTGCAGTTACGTGGATATCTGATCATGATAGGATTGTAACGGTACACAGAAGTCATTGTTCAGTTCACACCACAGTTTGGACATCACTATTCAGTATGAGTTCGGTACAACAGGAAATAAACAACAGAAACCCATAAAATGCATAAGTCCAGGTCTGAACAGACAGCAGTGCAAGTTATAGTTTGTTCCACCTAGTGTCGTCTAGGCCCCCGATGTAGTGAGTGCGGCCTGTAGTATGGTCATTTGCACTCGATGGGGATAGTTAACTCATTTGTGCAATGATGGATCACCTTACGCTGTGATTTGTAGTTAGCAGTAGAGAAAACGGTTGAGTGCTTAATCTCCTCACAGGCGAAACTATACTACATTGATCAAACACCTCAAACTCAGCCTTATGTAGCTGCTGCAGTTAATAATCTTAGACAGACCAGATTATTTGATGCTAGACAAAGCCTCCTCCTTAGACCGCCACCACTAATTTGCTAATGGCCTACAGCCTAAAGTTTCTGTGTGGAAGTGTGCTTGTGAAATTTGGTTCCGCATTACGTTCATCAATCTTCGTACATTACATGTATTCTCCATACGACTGCATGCACCTAACCGTAACGAATGCACATGCCTACTAAATATGTATGTAATTACGTGCATATGACTAAAGTTGTTGACCACCCTCTGAATGCAAAACCATATTGTCACAATTGTGGGGAATTATCAAATAGCCCATACATATCCATCATGTACGAGGACTGTGAGAACATAAGTAGTCAATCAATACTGAAGATTTCTCACCTGTTCTAGTGAGACACCAAGTGAACGCAGAATTCCCACATGCTCACCAAACACGGCCAGCCTCATGGTGGCGCTGTAGCGTCGCTGCAAGGGCAGCAGCACGAAGCAGCCGAACAGCGTGTCTCCGAATGACACTGCCTCGTACTGGGCCAGCAGGGCCGAGTATAAGTCGTGGAAGGAGGCCAGGCCAGGTGGTGGTGTGCCCAGGTTCAGGGCCTGCAGACTGGGGGGCCGTGTAAGCCCGCGGAACAGCGCCCAGGTCAGCTCCTGCACAGGCCTCTCCAGGAAGAGGTCACTGGAGCAGAGGAAGACACACGCAAGGCGGGCTAGCTTTGCCACAGGAGGCACTGGCTTTAGCACCTGCTCTCTCCAGCTCTCCAGAAGTAGCAGCCACTGTAGGCAGTGAGTGACCGATTGCAGAGAGCCAGATGGGAGGGAGTTCATCTGTAGCCCACCACCTTCAGACACTCCTGTGCGCTCATACAGGATGATCAGGGGCAGGAATGGCCAGTCGGAGGGCAGCGAGGGGCCAGAGAGTTCAGGGAGGAGCTGAGAAGAAAGCCATGGGTTGCGGCCGAGGTGCCGGTTGCGAGAGGACAGCACAGCGGGCTCTAGGTGGGCAAGGTGAGTAAGGTAGCAGCCCCGGATAGAAGGCAGGTGAGCAAGAGAGTCACGAAGGAGAGGACCCAGGCCAGACAGAGGGGTGGACTTCTCCTGAAGCTTCAGTTCTGCCAGTGTAGCTGCTTCGGGACCACCGCTACCACCCTCCCTGCAGAGCACAGAGTGAGAAAGACAGCTCAGAATGTACATTCTCTGCTGACTAAGGCCACATTCACAAAACAGAATAGAAGCAGCACAAATCCGATTTCTTGCCTAAATATGCCATAGGGTGTCTTGTTGTTTGTTGTTTGTTCTTGTTTGTCTGCCTGCCAGTCTGTGAGCTTGAGGGAATTGGGGTCAGATCATGTTTGAGGGGTTGGGTGGTGGTTAGTAATGAGCTGGGTGGAAAGGTGTGCGCTCCACTGCCCCCTCCATTGTATTAGTGTTCCCCAGGGACATTTTGTTAAAAGGAAAATGGAAACATGCAAGAAAATGGGGGGAAAAAAGAAAAGTAATGCTGTCCCCAGACAAATCTGTAACAGATGTGGTTTTAAGAGCTGTTTTTTCCAAATCAGTTTTGAGCCACTTTCATTTGTGGTTCAAGATCAAAGACATATCTGACATATGAGCAAGTGACCATAACTAGAATGGTCAGGCTACTTTTTTTTTCTTTTTAATACATCACAATTTAATGCGCTTTAACATGCATATGACATTTATTATAATCCAGCGCTGGCACTGTCAGCAGCTAACTTGATAAAATATGCACATGCACATCATTTCAGGGGAGAGATGTGGTCACACCAGTGACCGACACAAATCTATAGCGTCAGGGCAGAAAGACTGAATCTGGAACGTGAACATAGCCTTTTAATACTGAAAGGAAACGTTCAGAGAAGTCCTAACAATTTCCGTGAAGTAAAAACACATCATTTTTTACAACAGAATCATCCTGTTTGTTGTATTTAAACTTTTCAAGTATTGCAGTAATACTCTCTGTTTTGCTGGAAACAAAAGGGCTAAATTCTTGAAACACCCAATAGAAAAATGATCCAATCAGGATTTACTGTCTTAGTGGTATGTGGGGAGACACAGCAAAGTCAGCTCTCCCATTGGTTAGGACTTCAGGAGCTGAAACACTTTACCTACAGCTGACAAGGTACAAAACCTGCTTTTCTGCACTGCAATAATACTCAAGTCAAGGTAACTAATGTAGCATAGCCAGCTAATGTACACCATTTAAAATCAGCTAGATTTTATAGATTTAACTGTTCAGATACACTGCAGTTCTTTAGGCCTAACTCTACTAGTCATGGTTCCTTAAGGCTGTATAATATAGAATTATATATTAATATTATTAGGGATGTATCAATACAATTTTTTTAGGCCAAGTACGTTTTTTAGTACCTGCCAATACTGAGTTCGATACCACACTGAGTAACCTACCTACTACTTAGAATTAAGTAGTTGTTAGCGTAAATGAGTGCAATGTACCTTAAAAATGAAATCTAATCATTCATTTAATTATCTAAATCAATTAAAGTCTAGCTGATTTTAATTAGCCAGCCATGCTACATTACTAATCTTTGATTGAGTCGGATAATATGGACTCCCTACAGCCTATTTTACAAAGACAATTTCAAAAAAACGTTTGAGTTAAAGAGAGTAAAGTCGGCATATACAGACTTTGTTGACTTTTTGTCTCCGTTGTTCTAGCCTACGTATCTCTATCTGTATTGGGGAAGTGGTTGTGATTGTGTGTGATTGTGTAGGCTAAAATCGCACAGTGAGTTTGTCAAATGTTTAAAGTGACCAATGGCTTTGCGTCCAATCACCACAGGGTCAGTAACACTTCTCTGTGTCAGCAGAGCCTCCTCCACTGCCAGCTCAAGTCATTTGTTCATTAAGGCAGCAGCTTACGCTAGGCTCATGTCACATAGTATCAGATATTATCATCAGTGTTTTTTATGAAGTCAAGTATGAGTAAATGAGCACAATATCTGGCCGATACCTGGTACCACTACAAGTATCAATGCATCCCTAATTATTATATTTTTTTCCCAAAAATGTAATTGCTTTTGAACAGGTTATTTACTACAGAATATGGAAAAGTTTCAAAAGCCCATATTTAGCAAAGCTGTTTTATTGATCTGCATGTGTTGGGCGGCTCTCAAGCGTGTATGGCTTAAAGCTGCTTAACAGTTACTTAGTAGCATGTCCATGTGAATGAACATGATTGTCCTGCTTTTCTGAACACACCAGGGTCAATTTTGAGTCATTTTCAGTAAAGTCAAAACTTACTAACGGAACTATCTCGAGTAAATATCAGTAAATATACGCTCTCTGCTGTGAGGACTGTCCACTGGGTTGAAAATAAATAAATAAAAATAACCTTCAAAGAAAGCACTCTATTTGCTGCCCTCTTGTGAAAATAAAATGCAACAACAGCAGACGCCCAGCAGAAACATCTGGTTTCGTGGCACATTTTTGAGACATATTGCTTCCTGAAAGGCATAATAATAAATGTGGCTCAAGAGCAAAAGAAGCAAGTCCATAAACTTGGAGAAAATTTGGAAACTTAGCGCATAAAGATTACAGGCTAAATCTTCCAGACCACTACCTATGGGCATACACAAATACCTAGTAAAAATGTTTGGTTTAAAGACCACAGCCCTTAGGCAAACTTTACCCAAGCTGTTGTCAAAGTATATTTAAGAAGATTTAATTCTTAAAAAAGAATCACACTCACTGCACACCAAATGCTTTTCCGTCTTCCACGTTTCAGTAAACATTTCAGAAGTTGTTAACAGTTGCACACAAAGAGCTATACCAAGTCAAACCAGATCCTGACAAAATTGAAAAAACGAAACCATATCCCATTACACAACATACCGAACACACTCCAATCTCAAAGCCACAGAAAGGCCAAAGCAACACAGAACACACAGAGAGTTACAACAAGTTCTTGAGCGAAGTGAGTAAATAAATAAGGCCAAAACTCCTTCTGTAATAAGCATCTCCAAAAAAACCCTGTTCCTGCTGAGCTATCTTAATGCACTATTAGGTCCAACCAAGATTGAATATCACTGACTACCTACTCAGGGTCTTAAAGCAGAGCGTCAGAATAATAGAACAAGTTCCTTTTGCCAATTTTCAATGTTCAAAATTTTATTTTTGGGGTCTACTAGAATAGATTTGCATGCTTCAATGCTCCAAAACCACATTCATTTTCTCATACTGCACATCTCGTTTACCCTCTGCCTAGGAAGCTCTGTTCGACCTCCTGTGTCTTTAAATCCCCCTAATGATGAGCCCAGTGTGCTCAGCTCGTCCACTCTTTTCTGTTTGGTCAATCAAAATTGCGGCATCCTGCTACAAGCTTCACCCCTGCACCCCTGTGGCTGTTTTTATAATGTCGTCGGTTCTGCCGTATCAATTTGAGCCAGAGTCTGATCCTGAAAGTCAGGTTTGCAAGGTATTGAAAGTCCACCTTTGCAAGCTAGACTGGAGGAGGATGTTGAGTGGTACGTTTTTATTTTGTAGCTCTCGTGTATGAGGGTGTGCTAAGCTTGCCAGTAGGCAGGCAATAATGATTGCGTTATGAGATTTTGTTATCCTGTAACAAAGGAAAAAGGACTAGAATTTTAACAAGGCATTTCAGGCAGCTGAGAAAAGTGGTTTCTGTGGGAGAGAGTTACTCCCTCTGGCGTGTATGCTCTGGTTTCTGACTTTGCAGACCATTTACATGCTTAAAAAGCCATAACACACTAAAGGAGAGGGAAAAGCATAATGGGTCCCCTTTAAAGTTGGGATTCTGCAGGTGGGCAGCCTCCAGAAACACTGATAAAGATACAAGACCATCCAATATAATAGTCCTATTAACAGAGCTAATAGTAATATATACAGTACTTCTGGTTAGGCCTGCACAGTATGGACCAAATTCTCCACTGCAATTACTTTTTTAGACATCACGATTGCAATCTCTCTTATAAAAACAGATATATACACACTTGATGTAACATGGTTAATGATTGGCCTGCATTATTTTGGCAAAAATTATTGAACTTTTTTTGATTGCATGAAAGCCTTGATCCATCTAAAAACTCAGAGAACTCATCTGGAACTTCTAAACTTCACAGTCAGGCTTCTGACAGCACACAGCAAAACATGGGTGATTTGTTTGTGGCATCATTTTCATATCACAGGCTTCTGTGAGGATAAAACTGTAAAAGCCAGTAACTAGTAAAATATTGCACTGGCTTAGTTCAGGCGGCTATGGACACGGCATGTAAAAGATATACATTTCAAAAATAAAGTCAGAATTCAAAATAAAGTCAGACAAAGAAACTCAAGACTCACGGAAGCAGTTCATGATTGAAGATGATGGTGGACAAAAGCTCATGTGCCAGATATTCACTTCCAGGCAGCAGCCAGGACAGCAGAGCCAAGGCAACTTGATGAAACAGGGATGCATGTTTGGCCACCTCCGGGTCAACAGGAACCTAGAGCCACAAAAGAGAATTTACTTTCGTCTGATATTTTAACAAATAGAAAGCATAGATGGTTCAGATATGCCTAAAATAATGTTTCTTCTGTAATATTAGTTTCACATTTCAAATCACATTATTTACACCGAACATGTGAAGAACATGTACTTTTTGTAAAACTGTAATTACGGTGTCTATTACAATGTTTACAAAGGTTTTTCAGGTTCAGTAGTTAAACATGGTTTTGTGAGTGCTAAATGCCTACTTTGAAGTAGCTGATTTGTAAATGCAGTATACCAAAATGACATAGTACTACTATACATAGCCGGTTACCTCTTGATTGAAGTGGAGCCCTTGCTTTGATTCATGTTATTTAAATATTTCAAATAGAAAAATTTAAAATGCCAGTTTTGCCCATTAAAGAGCAAATAAATGTTATTTATCTTGCAACTCTGGATTGATAATAGAAAGTACTGGAAACATACTAGTGTGAGTTTCAGATTTAAAAAAAAGCCTAATGATCAATGTCCCAAAAAAAAATGGCTGTAAAGACGTCTACATTGGCAACAAAAATATGAAATGCAGTGAAGAAGTACCAGTCTGAGAGCTAGTCTCAGGAGCAGATACAGCAGGAGGTGTTCATGGCGTAAAAGCCAGGCACTTGCGTGGGATACAGAGGGCATCGCTCCGACGCAGGACCGCAGGTACGCCAGTACAGAGTCAGAAAGAACGATGGAGCTGAACTACAGAGAAGAAGAAATTCATGTCATCCCAAGTGAATTAATACTGTTTAAACTGCATGGGTGTCTTTTAGTCACTAGGTGGCAGCACAAAACAGCATCATTACTACGTAAAAAACGTACTCAAACTGGATTCATTTTACTAGGGGAGGTACTGTAATTGTGTGATTACTGACCCATGACTTTAGTCCAGTACAAATCTGACAAATAGTGACAAGTAGTAATTTTACTACAGGGTATTACTTGACAAATCCAGAGGTCCCTCAGTAACAGCAGTGCTGTTTCATTTGACCACATGATATCGCAATAACTCCTCATAGTAATGTAATAACAGGGAATACACATAGCTGTGTGTTATTGTATTGAGAGTGGCGCTAACATGAACATCCAGGCTACGATATTCCAAACTACTGAATTCTCTTTGAATAACTTTTTAAAACGCTTGCAATCATCAGATTCATCTGCTTGGGGTTGGGGTCCAAGCAATGTTCAAATTGAATTCTGGGATGCTTCGGCTGCAGTTTTTCCTTCTGCAACACCATATTCAGCTCAGCAAAGCACCAAAGACTTTCATAACTAAACAAGGTGTGTCAACACAACAAAAACATTAAACTGTGAAGGGCAGTGGCACTCCAGAATTACTGTACACCCAGTCTCTGCACATCAAACGTACTTTCTTGGTTAGGCTTCGGTGGTTGGTGGTGAGAATGTCCAGCAGGTAGAAGAGAGCAGTACAGAGAGGGAGAGGAGAGCTGGGTCCAACAAGGTTGGGGTTAGTCTTAAGCCTAAAGCAGCCTAAGCTTGGCAGACTCGGGACGACCTCCAGGCCAGGAGCACTCAACACAGGGTTACAGATTACCGAATAGGACCTGCAGCAACAACATCATAATGTCAGTTACAAAATACAATTAATCACAGTGATATCGCACAGCCACATTCTTATGTATATAGTAGTGGATTCCTGGCCTGGTCCTGGAGTCTTCCTGTCCTGCACATTTTAGTGCTGTCTCTGCTCTTACAGTCACTCCAGAATGACTTTTAATTGGTTGATTAATTAGATCAGATGAGATCAGCAAGAAAAACACCAAAATATGCAGACAATTGACATTTGTGTAGCTTCATGTACCAAAAACAATGAATTTTTAATGAGTCATAATTCATTTTTACATGAGCATAACCTACTTTTTCATTTCTTAGCATGTTCTTGACTGATACATGTAAATGATCTCCATTCGGATTTGTTGCCCTATGCCAGCGGTCATGGCTAAAACACTCACTTCAGCATAAAAGGGCAGAGCTAAACTACTACAGATATATGTAAATGTGTCTGTTTGCATGACATCATAGAAACTGCGAATTCAAAACTGTTTTTGCAGTTTAGTTGTCATACATTAACTGCACGGACTCATGGAAGTTCATGGTACGTTCTGAAATGTTTACGCACTACATTAAACTCTTCCATTTAAAAAAAGTGCGGAAAATCAACTTTTCTATGGTATGGGCCCTTCAACAAGGCTGCTTTAACTAAAGGCTGGAGACTAAACTAAAGGAAAAATTATTTTTAAGCTTTAAAGATGTTAGAGAAATAAAACCATCATCCAACCTGAGGCTTTCTACCGTGCTGCGTATGGCCTGATGGGAAATGAGTGGAAGGAGCACCTCTGAGGTCAAAGACTCTAGTTCCAGTAGACACTGCACTGGTTGGAAGGAGTTCTGCAAAAGCACACAGTAGCACACATTAAATCTCTAAAGTTCACAATGACCAGAATATCAGAACATGGGTGCCCAATCCTTGTCCTGGTAATCTATCGCCTTGAAGAGTTTAGTTCCAACATACCTGGCTCTAATATTCAGAAGCTTCTGAAGGCCTTCGTTAATTGGATCAGCTGTGACACATTAAAGTTAGAGCTGAACTGTCCAGGGCTGAAGATCACCAGCACCAGAATAGGGCACCAAATGCATCAAATTAACATCTCCAGCTTGGCATTTTAATCAATCAGATAAGACTTCATAACTGTCATGAAAAGCCTCTCAATCACAATCACCTTTAAATGCTAACAGTTCTGAGACCCAACCCGCAGTAAGAACAGTGGTGGCAGTAAATTAGTCAGAATTATTGGCCTAAGACAGCAGTTCTAAAACTGAGTATTTCAGCAAAAATGAGTGGCTGTCGGCAAAAACCAGTTCTGGCTTCACGGTGCAGGACTCACGCTGCTAAAATGCTTTGGGAAAATAAAGGAAGAGCTGTGTCAGTTTGATGGATGAAGTTGTCCTGCACTCCTCTCACACCAAAAAATGACAAATTTAACTTTGCTTGAATGGCACAGTGTTATTTAATCTGTTTCTTAGGAGCGCTTACTTGCATACTGAGCTGTGAGTAAAACACCCCCATGTAGATCAGATAGGATGGGAGTAGGGTCAGGGTGCTTGCCCTTTGACCTGGGTCATCCAGCGCTCTCACACAGCCTTTCAGCAATCCAGTCAAGGTGGCCTGCAAACCAGTCACATGACTCCATGTCACTGGAGGAGGGGGAAGACTCTCTGTACCCTGGGAACTACAACAAACATCAAATAAATAAATTCAGATAAAAAGGCCAATATAGCATTTCTCTGGTTCTTAATGTGTGCAGAAACGTCATATCACAGTTGTGCTCTCTTTAATCTCTCCTCTGTGGCCTCTGTGGAGTTAAAATGTAGGACTCACTTGAGCAAGCTACTCTGTAACTCTTGGTGGCAGCCAGCAGTGTGTGTGACCTGAGTGAGCAGGACCAGCAGTGCTTTCACTCGGTGGAGTTCCAACACCAGGAGAGGCTCAGATGGAGCATTGGGTTTGTGTGCAGCCTGCAATGCCTTCACCAGAACTGAGTAAAGGTCTCTATATACATATGAGAGAGAGAGAGAGAGAGAGAGATATGGATATTATTAAAGGCACTTCCCAAAAGAAATTTTAAAATGAACACTGTGGATATATTTGTAAATTACATTGAATTTATTACAGCTTAATAACATCTTTAGAACGGAAGTCATCTTGCTATTATTTATATGCTTATCTTATTTGTCGTATTTATGGGCAAGGCCCAAAATATAATAGTTTTAACTAATGGTTTTGGTCTGTTCAGAGTCAGATCAGATTTAAACCCTATAGAGAATATTTGGTCTCACATTAAACACAGTGTTTTTCAACTGTTTGAAGCCATCAACGCTGAGTGGAACAATACCAACTCTTCTTTCTATAAAAGGTTGTCTGCAAATTCACACAAAAGATGTCAACATTTACAAAAATCAAAGGGAAAAGCCTATACCCATACTAAGTTACTCTATCTATATGTATTGTCTAATTGTTGCTAATTTACTAATGATTTGTTTTTAAGACCATTAAAAGCTTGATGTTTTGCCTTGTAGTTTTGCACAGGAGAGTACACTTTCCTGCACAGATCCACAGCATCATTACAACAAAAAATATTGTTTCATTTACTTCATTCAATTTAAACATTTAATAAATAAAAGGCTGTCATCATCTTAAAGTGATACCTGCTTTTTTTAGATAACATGCCATAAAGTGTTGGAAACCACATTAGCAAGTCTACCTGAGATCACTTAATTAGTGACAAATGAATCATTCATACTGCTTGAACAAAATGAATCAATTTCTCTGATCTGATTCAAAGTTTTCACCCAGGTTTTGTCTGTGACCTTACACCACATAGGCAAACGGTGTCAGCAATGATAACATATTTGGAGTGCACTGAAAGCTTAGGTGAAAGCAAAATATCAATTTCACTTCTGGACATTAAATATTTATGTCCGTGCATAGAATAGAACATGCCATAAACTTTATGTTAGAATTATAGAGGAATAAAATAATCTATTCCATTAAGCTTAGCTTATTTAGTTTTCATTCAATTGTTATTGAGAATGCATCATAAAAAGTGAAACTTCTGTAGGAATAAGGCCAAAAAAGACAGACAACATACATCTCTCATTTCTAAAAGCTTTCTCAAAAGGTACTGAAAAAACATGAACATTCTCATTTTAAAAGCAGTTTCCCACTGTGAAGTTCAGCACTTAGTCAAACTTAGACAAGAATAAGACACATGCAATCAGTATTAGTGTATCCAAAAGCAGCAAAGACACAACTAATTCTGCCTGGAGTGAACTGAATCCTATATGTGATAATACAGAAAATGCCCTTTTCAAAAACCTATGCTTCGAGCACAAGAGTTCCAGAAGAATGGAAACGTCTGAGATTGTCTCCTATGTTCTATGATTTCTGAAGATGTAACATGATTCAGGTATGCAGTTTACACACTGCTAAGTGGTGGGTAGAAGCTTCTATTACTTGTTAGTTATTTTAACCTTGTAGCTAAAAAAACTAAAGAAGCAAACTTCAGGCACCCATCACGTCATGGCTGATGGACAATACATGAGGTAAGGAAAAAACTGTGTAAATCTGAGTTTTCACTGAACAAGAAACAAGAACTGAGTAAGTGTTCTCACGTGTAGAGGTCACAGGCCTGGCCGTAGCTAGCAGCCACTGCCCAGAGCCTCAGTGCTTCTGTGCTGCAGCGAATAGCTTCCCCTGGCTCCAGCAGCAGCTCCGAAGGTTCTGCTGCCAAGAGCCGAGACAGACGCTCCCTCCCACCTAGAGAGTTCAGCTGAGACATAAACAAGTCAGAATCCACCCATCTGCACCATGAGCATGCGCTGTATACAATAATTTCAAGTTTCATTTATTGAGGTGCCTATCAGTACATGCAGTACTCACTATTCTGGCACAGGCATGCCTCCCAGCACCTCCCAAAACTCGGAGGAGCTTCACAGCCATGGAAATAGGCAAGCCATATAAAGAAAGTGGGGATGGAGACGTGGGTGGAGTCCAAGAGCAAGGTAGGAACTCTGACATCACAATCTCCATCAGCCGGGGGCAATCAAGGATCTAGATGTGGCAAACAACTTGAATAGTTTAAATAGTTACATAAAAAAAATCTAATTTTCAGAATTTGAGTAGAAATTTATAGTCAAACAGTCAAGAAACCACATAAGGAAGTCTACAAGATTACCTAACAACTCGCTGTGGTTTGAGGCATTGTGTATGGAGTCATTTGTGTATGGAGTTTGCATGATGCTAACTGGTGGTGTATAAGCTTCTATTACTTGTACATTACGGTGCAAGCAAAAAACTATAGAAGCTTATTTCAGACAATGTCTTGGCTGATGAGCTACATTTGGTATAAGAGGGAAAATTTGTGTAAATTTGCTTTTCAGCTTTATTAATGAGTTTGCAAAGAGGACTGCAATGTACTGTTTTTTAAAGACCACAAGAGACTGTAATGCACATATGCAAAGGAGGTGAATCATTAAAAACAGATGTCAGAAGATGGGAGCACTATGTGGAGACTGTGGCAAAGAGAATGCTGAAGTACGCATCAGAAACCTTTCAGGACTTTACCTTACCTGTGTGGCTGCTGAGGTTGAGTGACGAGCTATTCTAATCAAAATCTCTAGAACATCGAGAACAACGTGAGGCGCGGGCCGTACAACCTCCAGAATGTACCGCAACCTTTGCAGAAGCTGCATCTTCAACAATCCCTAAGAACATGGAAGGAGAAGAAGAAAAACACACACACACACACAATGACATGCACAACTCCTCTGTAATAAATCGCCTGCTAAACTGAACATTTTAAAGGAAGTCATCTGTGCCGCTCTACAATACACATTAAATAAAATCATATATCGTCTTAGCTTCATGTTTTCTTCTCACCTTGACAACATCCAGTCGAGCAACATCATGATCTGGTTTTCTGTCCTCTTTCTCTTTAGCTGTTTCTTTCATGGACTCATCCAGGCCTTCATCATCCTCATCTGCCTCATCCTGAGTGGAGGGCAGTAGGGGAAAGGCTGCCATCCCTAGTAGCCAAGGGAACGTGTTGTCGAGGCACTCCTACAAAGGATAAATGCAAATACAAAGGGAAAAACATGAGACTTAACTTTTACTCTCCTTTTTCATATGTTGTACTCTCAGTGGTTTGAAAATAATAGATTTAAGGCAAAAATGGAAAGAAGGATGAAACTTTTGCTACCACATCTGGTACCGTTTCGGACATTTTTTTAAATACACATACAATTAGTGACTGCAAATGTGTATTTGCGAGATCATGCTGGTGTGGGTTCTCGCCAGTTTCTTTCCTTTCAATGATGCACACAAATGCTACTTAAGTGCTAATAGCTCCCCTGAGGTATTTTGCATTTAAATGGTAAGTCAAGGTTTTTGTTGCTTGTGCCTCACCTCATCGTCGGGGGACACCAGTAGCGCTCGGAGAGCATGCACACCCGCTGACATCACGCCTTCCACACTGTCGTCCAGAGCGAAGCGCAAGAGAAAAAGAAGGCCAGCATCTAGCAGAGAGATCTGCACATTGCCTTTAAGAGAAGAGGAGTATTCACCAGCACGGGCCTGGAGACAAAATAGCATATGCAAACAATGAATATGAGAGGAAGAACTGGGAGAAAAAAAAATTAAATATATTCAAACTTAACCATTAAAGACCCCCTCCACTCAATAAGTCTTTTTGAGTGGCTTATTATGATTATATCAGACTAACATCTGTATCAAATGTTTTACCATAGCACAAAGTTCTCATTTTTCCATTGAAAACACAGGCTTTCTCAATACCACTGAAAAAAAGCAATTTTCTGGACGTTACTTAGCAGCTTAGTTTTGTACATCAGAGTGAACTTGAACTTATGATCCAATATATGAAAATAAGCTAATGAGAGGATTACGGCATGGTGACAGGAAACTTGCTTACAGCTACTGTGCAGTAAGCTATTAGCTAAAATGGATAAATGATGCTGCAGTTTCAAATTATGAGTGTCAAATGTATAATAAACCGTCAAATCTGGTGTTCTAGTTGCATGCAACAGCTTCACCCAACAGCACAGGTTCATTCCAGCTCACTTTCCAGCTTGCATTATTGAAAGTTTTGAAAATAAAGCCTCAAATCTGGGTTTTGTGTAGTCGTTGGCTTAAGCTACTTTTGCTTTAACATCTTCACCAGCACTACAAGCTAACATTAGCCTAGTGAAAAGGCCTAAAAAGCACAACACACAACCATGCAGGTTCATTTAGAGAGTAAAGACTAATGCTACAATGGGAGCTTTGTTTTTGCACTGTCTGTTATTTCATCTGCTCAGCCAGTAACAAAGACAGAATGCAGGGCAGTGTCTGTGAGTGGAGTGGCAGACATTTCTCAAGTCTCACTCACACATCAAAGAAAACCTGCTCGAGATGAGTCATTCTTGTATATTATTATATAATATTTATTTGATGTCTTGAACATATGAGCAACACACTACGCAGTCCGTTTTATAAATTATATAATTTATGGCAGTTATAACACGAAAAACTAGTTAAACATTCTGCGCCACATACAGCTTTTTTCAGTATGGACAGGCTTAAAACAATGGCCCAATCACAAGCCAGAAAACTGCCAAGAAGAATAAGAATTTTAAGAATACATTTTTATAATATCTATTTAAGAACATCACTCGTGCAGCAAAATGGAGGACATGAGACTACTTATGTGTACAATCTGTAGAGCTTTGTTGCTGAGAATTTCCAGTATGTAGGTCTGCTGAACAGTTCTGCAGTACAAACGTTGTGTAAGGATGGCCGTTATGTGTACTGTAGCAGTCATGTTGGCGCATAACTCATGTCACATGGTGGTAGTCGGTGTGGAAAAAACAGGACTGGCTTGTGGCATGGAGAGGTAGTGGAGTGGTTTCAGAGTGAGAGAGAACAAATCTCAGGGCTTAAAGCAAAGACAATTTTCGTGCCTGAAATGTATTTGGGTTTAAGGAGAAAGAAAGAAGGGATGTGGGGTTCATGGAACAATTTTAAAAAATGTATTAACTGAATGTCAACATCTTTATAAACAAAACTGAAACAAATAAACAATAACAAACAGCACAATAACAAGTTGCACAAAACAAACAATGTATGATAATTGCATCCAAGTCCAAGCACAACTTTTAAAGCCATAGAGAATATTCAATACACCTATTCTTCAAACCTGCCATCAACTGTTCCTCTGTTGATCTCTAAACAACATGTGCAGCATACCACCAAACAAGTCCAAAAAAATCACAATCATGATATGAAAACAAAACCAATAGCTTATTATTTTCTTTTTCAAAGTAGCCTGGTCATATGCATCATTAATAAAGTAGGTCTACTTCATTAATACAAAATATATGGCTCCTTACCTCCATATACAGCCATATTCTAGCTACGCAACCATTAAAAAATATGCAAGAATATTTTCCACAGATATATAATTAAGCAATAAGCCACAAAAGGCCATGCGTTACTGCTATTTTATCATGGGGAAAGGTGTTCTTAGTCACAACGCAAGGTGGAGTTGAAGAACGCCCATCACTGTTCGTCACAGTCATTTTAATGAACTTGAGCGTTTGTCATATAACAATGATCATATCATAGTACAGCACTATTTAATGCAAAAACTTTCCTTTACAAGCACTTTTTGGTCACCAAATTACGACTGCGAATCTTATTTAGCACCAAGCTAAAGCCCCTTTTCCCACGCCGGGGCTGAATCTCAGATGGCTCTCTGCTCCCTACATATGGCACTACGTTGGAATTTAAATACTGGCTCCAGCACCCAACATTGCATAATGTAGCTAAAATACTCATTTGGCATTCAGCCCCATTCAAACTCGACAAACAGTGCACTACTTGGCTGTAGAAGCTAGAATTTCAAAATTACATAGCATACTATTTAGGTAATACGGAGCCTTTTGAGATTTAGTCTGGATTTGACGCTACTTCTGACTGAAACACGGATATTTGAAGCATGTAAGCCATGCAAGTGACACTCAGCTTTTATATTTCTGTTTTACAGTGAATCAGAACATAGGTATTTTAATTCAAGCCTGTGATATTAATGATGGAGTTGTTTAGGCTGTTAACTGTTTTTTAGCCTGTTAGCTAGCTGACCAGCCTAGTTCTTGTTAAAATATGTTGTAAGCGTTCCAGGGTAGTGTGGGGAAGGGGTGGGATTTAGAAACAGATAGACATGGGGCATTTACAATTTGCATAATCTTGCATATTCATAGATCTTCACATTCTTAATAAGTACAAGTTTACAGATGATCCTATGCCATTTTAGTACTTACTTGGGCATAACAAAAGTATGTACCATCTAACAAATTCTTCAAAAAACGATTTTTCTTATCACTCATTAAACATCTTAATTTGTTCTGAGTCTTTGTGGAACAGCAGAGTGTGAGAAGCCTTTTTAAAGTCACTATCACATGAAAGAATCTGCTGCACTTGCAACCATGGCTTGTTTCCTTGTTTCTCCCCTCTGGGCTCCTCTACATTTTGTCCTCACTTTGTCCTGATTGTTAATTGCAGCAGAAGTGGAGGGCAATTTAACACCAGTCAACTGAACCAACTTTATTGATTTACCTTTGACAGGATGTGAGCCAAGGTGTTAAGGGCCAGGCTCCGCTGCTGGGTCAGCTGACTGCGAGAGAGAAGGAAAAGCTCCTGCAACGAGTAGCCTGCCAACTAAAAGACAAAGAAAGAGACAGAGAGACAAAAAAAAGAAGGCACAGAGAGAGAAAGAAAGAGGGAGAGAGATCCAGTACATCCAATCAACATAAACAACACAAAAACATCAGATAACCTTTGGTAAATGGTGTTCATGTTAGATAAGATTGTCTGCTTGAGTGAATGAATTCCCTCAAAAATCAAAGCCATTTATTTCAAGCGACTGACCTCTGGCTCCTCCCCATGGTGGTGCAGGCCAAGATGAGTGGGCAAATCTTCCGTGGGAGGGATAACAGTACCAGAAAAGTCAAAACGAGCCTGCATAGACTGTTCATTCAACACACGCACAGACACACACACAGACAATTCAAAGAAGTCTTTGAAGTTGGAATGTTTTTGCAGGCTAAAGATGCCATACAGTATTTCATACTCTCGCTTCATCATGAAGTTCAAACCTTGTATTGAACTGAACTAAAAGAGGCAAATGGCTGATGGTAGTAGCACAGTACCATAAAGACTTAAGGTGAATAATTTCTCAAATGATTAGTTACCTTTTTAGTGCTTTGCCTCCTCGGAGCAGGCAAATCCCTCGTCCATTCCAGTTTCTCTGGCTCCAGCTTGTCCATATGAAGCCACTCTTTCTGTGGCTTGACTGGTAGCTCCTTCTCTACATAAACAAAATAATTACATTAAAGAACTAATCAGAATGTTATTGGAACCAAATTACATTATATTTTCTAATAAAAACTTAATTATTTGTAATAAAAACAGGCACACCAGTGAAAAACACGATCAAAATAAACTCCCGCTAGCTAACGACTATACTAAATCCTTTTCAGTGATATGAGAAAAATCGTGCCAATAAGAAACATCCTTGAAACGACAGTGTATTATAAAAAAGTTCAAATGTTTTATACTGGACTATGAGAACTTAATTTACTAAATTCAACAAAGAATAAAGAATTCCAATTATTATCAACTTATTACTAACAAGCGATAGAGGCAGAACAAGAACCACGATTCTTGATCGGCTTCATCCATCTTAAAAGCAGATGCTCACGTTTTTTAACCTCCTCTATCTATTTTCTCTTGCCCCTGAAGATGATTCGAGGCCTGCGCTGGCTAGCTTGCGCTAATCAGCCTAATTGAAATCGATGACTTTGCCCCAGTGTGCTAATCTTGCAGCTCAGCCGGATGCTCTCTGCCAAATGGACATTAGTGCATATGTGCAGTTAGCTTACTTGTACAAGCAATGAAAATAAAGACTGGCAAGCAGCCAGGTGCACTGGGGCTGAGACAGTGCTGTGGAAGACAAGTTTCATATGCTTTCGCAGCAACTGCTGTACGTAGCTATCAGAGCAAGGCTCAGTTTACCTGATGCCTGTTGTTGGACTAACAATGCTATGCAGTAACATGCACAAGTAATATTTAAATGCTAAATGACATCAAGAAAGAAAATAAGACCAATGCTGGCAGCACACGAAAATGAAGTTTCAAAGCAAAATGACATCTTTTTGGTCAAAACAATGCAGTGATTTAAGTTTGTTCCTTGTGGTGTACACAGCTTACTGAAAGACACAGTCTACCAAAAGCATCTTAGTGTTAAGATCATGTTAACTGGTAAATAGTGTTGTTCATTGTGTTGCTCACTCTATCATGTAAGAAACACCTTTATGCCAAGATATTTTTCAGGAATCACCAAGTCATTTGTTCCAACCTCCCTTGACTTTGATTGGTCCTAATCACTGTGTGACTTGTTCAGAGACCTCCCTCTGACTGTAAATGGTTCTAACACTATCATTTGTTCTGAGACCTCCCCCTGACTGCGACGAGTTGTGATCAACATGTCGTCTGAGACCCCACCCCCCGTGACTTGCTCTAATCACCACGTCATTCATTCATTCTGAGATCTTGCCTTGACTGCGACCGATTCTAAATCTGTGTCATTTGTTCTGACACCTCCCTCTGACTGTGACAGTTTCTAATCACCACGTCCTTCGCTCTGCGACCGCCCTCTCACTGCGATTGGTTCTAACGCTGCATTGTTCTGAGACCTCCCCCTGACTGTGATTAGAGCCAAGGCCTCAGAACAAACGATGTGGTGATTAGAACCAATCACCACGTCATATGTTCTGAGACCTCACCCTGACTGCAAATGATCCTAAAGCTGCGTCATTTCTTCACTGACTGTGATTGGTTCTAACTACCATGTCATAGGTACTGAGACCTCCCCCCATTCTAACACTGAGCCATTTGTTCTGAGACCTCCCCCTGACTGCTGTCCTCATCACCACATCATTCGTACTAAGACCTGCCACTGCTCTAACACCAAATACTGTGTTCGGAGACCTCTCCCCTGATGTGCCTGGCTTAAAACACTCAGGGGAGAGAGGTGTTTTAGTGATACCATTTAAATGTTTCGATTCATCAATACTGTATTCAGTTCATCACACACTTAAGCTGGCAGTATACTTCGAACACCGAACGAGTTAAATGAAATCAAAACTACCACATTTTATGTATGTAAAAAATATTGGATATCAGCCTCAGTGCACAATTTCCGTATCTGTGTATTACTAGATATTTTATATTGAAAGGTCCCTTAGCGATCCAAAAGTGATTCTTCTTTGGCATCACTGCAACCCTTGTTGTTTTTCATGATAAACAACCCCTCCCTTCTTTGAGGAACCTATTTTTTAAAAACATAGTTCTTTTTAAGTATACAGCATGTTTGGTGGTAATTGGATGTCATTTAGCTCTTTTGTTGTTTGATTTATACTGCCAACTTAAAGGTGCAATCAAATAAATACCTTATTGATAATATCAGAAAAAATTATGTTTGAAATGGGTTCACTGATACACTCCTCTCCTCTGAATGTTTATTGTGTTTGCTTTCCTTTGTGGAAGCCAAAGTCACTGATAAAACTAGGCATCTGAATGAATCATCTGGTTTTGTATCAGTTACAGTTATTACACTGCTTAATGAGACCACTATTTTGGACAAGGACAGTTCTGCAATCTTTTGTTCTGAGACAAATTTATCATTTCTTTGATCTAAATCAGTATGTTTAGTACATCTGATATACATGGAATTAAGATATTTTAACACATAAAATATCAAAAATCAAGTTGAATCTTGATCTAAGAATTGAGAACTGTATCCAACGTGAAAAATCATTACACCCCTGTTTAAACAAATACTTTACTGAAAAACAACCCCTAGGTGTAATGGATCAGTCAAGACACGTTTGGTGTCCAAAGCTTGCTTCTTTTGTTCTGGAGCAGAGCTACAAGGCTAATATAGCAAAAGTCTGTGTGACTTTTTTTGTTTATATCTTATTTAAAAGCGGTATAGACATATTAAATAACAAATAAGTATATTCAATAACAAAAACAACTCACTGTATATTTGGACAAGCTAACAAAGTTTGGGTGCCCCTGGTCAAATTCCATGTTTTCTTGATTTTCTAACTGAAAGTAAGTTAACATGTCCTCTGCACACTGTAATACACAATTATTGTTTATCTGCTGAGTTTAACATATTGGGGGAAAAAAAGTGTAAAACATAAAATGTGGCCTGTGCAAAAGTGCAATTTTTTCCCAATATTTTAAACTCATAACAAATAAACTTGTGCAGTAACACTTGCAGAAAAATACAATGCTTACGCGTGTTCCCTGTAGAGGATATGTGAATCATTTTTACTAAGAAAATCATCAAGACATGTAATTTCACCAGGGGTGTTCAAAAACACAGTTACAGTTTTTTGGCCCAATCATCACTTTCATCCTGTTGTTCTGATATGACTCCAAACTTGGAAGCCTCTTAGAGTGTTTTTCCATCAGTGTAATAAGCCAAGATTGAATGCCAGGGCATCACCTCCCATCAAGAAACAGTTTATGGCTTCCTGCTGTGTTTTGGCACAGTCTATATTATCTTCAACAACACCTGTTTGAAATTACTTCCATGTGTCATGGTTTTACCAGAGTTCAGCAAAGGTGCCCAGAACTACTACATTTTATTAAGGAACTGAGTGGCACATTGGTTCTGTCAGCACGGTTGTTCAGTAGTATGCAAGGGACTGAGCCATTGCTCACCTGTGATTGGCGGCTGAATTACAGGTTCAGCCTCATCCTCTTCATCCGCATCCATTGTGACCTCCTGAGAGTCCAGCTTTGGGTCTGTGCTGTGAGGCTCTGGAGCTTTACTTTCAGTGACAGGCTGGTCAGTGCACACCTCTCCCTGGAGAGTAGAGGGCACTGATGAGGTCTTCTGATCCTTCCGCGACCTCACAAAGTCCACCAGTCTCGGATCTGAAACAACAGGAAGGCTGATGACATTAAACAGATACACTAGGCCTGTCACAATTATTGCATAATCACCTTATCACAATTATGTGAGATGATCACAATTATTTAAACTGGCTGCAACAACTTTTCACAATCATTTAAGCTGCAACAAGCAAAATGAGAACTGGGTGAGAAGGGTTGAGGCAAATAAATATAAAAGAAGAAAGCATCCATTGAGACACATCATGGGACTCATGAAAACAAAAACTTAATCTTAATGTATATTCTAAGTTGTTTATTTACGTCAGGTGAGTCAGGTGACTCATTTCAACATAGCATATTTTAGCATGTGTCCAAGCAGAATTGGAGTTTTTTGCCTATATATATTCACTCTCAAGATGTAGCTTTGATACATTCTACACAAGATTCTGTGTAACTGAGACATGTGTGTGTGCATACAACAGTGCAGCGTATCAAATTTTCTTGTTAATTGTATATAATACAACTAATAAGAAAAGACAATTAAATTGTTAATCTATTATTTATATAACAATTAATCTTCAGTTGAAATTTCATGATCGTGACAATCCTACGATACATAATGAAATACTGCATAACAGGTGCTTTCACAGTTACAAACGGTCTCATGCACTTAATTTGTGTGTCATTTACCGTCCACCGACATTTCCCTTCTCTCTTACTAAACACAGTGCTCTAAACCAGTTACAGGGGAGCAAAGCAGGTTAAGTTTAAAATCAATGTGAACTGAAAAATCATAACGCATTTCCCTTCTGTGCCTGTAACACGGTACCGGGGAGGGTCTCTGAGTTAGTGCTTTCACTCAGTGATTTGGTGAGGAGCTGAAAAAGGCTTTTACTGTTTAATATTGTTTATCCCCACTTACTGGTGCATGGTGACGTTTCCAAGAACAGGAAGACATTTTTCAAGTGGACAAAAGTCATTATATATTGATGGAAGGAGGCAAAACAAGATATTTGCATTTAAAAGAACACATTAGACTGTATGTTATATAACCAGTGATATGAACTAATAAGATTAAAAAGGCCAATTTTCATTTCAGGTTGAAGATTTAGAAAACAGGAATGTCCTTGTTACCTAACTGGGCCAACAACTTCTGCCGTTCCTCCAGAATTTCACTCTGTGACATGCCCTGCAGCCTAGCCTGGTTCTCCTGGTGGATCCTAAGAGTTTCCACAGCACTGTCTGGACCCAGACCCTGACCTGACACCAGTACAGAGCCTATGACAGAAGAGGAAAACACGCATACACTCAAGTTATAATTCAGATATTCTGTACTTAGGCATGCTCGGCTTGGCATGACGAGAAATTTTTAGTGTAAGTATTTGCTTAAAAACAAAATTCCTGCATCAGACAGATTTTATGATATCTAATGATGCATTTATTGCACTCCAGAAGAGCAGAAAGTTTAGACAACCACGATAAAATGTCTACATTTGATTAATTTTACAAATGTAATGTTTCGCCGTAATGATAATCCAGGTGTATCTAGTCCAGTTCCTATATTTCATAAGCGTAAAAATGTTTATGCACAGGCAGATATGTACATAGAAAGCATCCAATATTGGCATCAGTGCACAATTCCCATATCGGTGCATCCCTAGACATTTTGTGTCATGCAGAAATAACACCTTGGAAAACTTCAAAATGTGTAAAGGGTTGTCACAATCGATTACATCCACAGATAAGTAATCTGATTATTTTAATGATTAATTGAGTAATCAATTACTTTAATATTCCAAAAGATAAACAAGGAAACCTTCAAAAATATCTCATGAAGATTATATATTTAAAAATAGTATATGACAAAAAATGCATACACATTCTCAACAAAAGGGCTCTTTGGGTGATGCCATAGAAGAACCCCTTAGGTTCCCCGAAGTACCATGTTTGAAAATGAGATTTCTAAGTATGAACAACCATTTTTAAAGAAACTTCACATTGTGTAAGAGTTGAGGATCTTTACCAATTCAACTACACAGAAACAGTGAATAAAACAGGTTATTTTTGCAGCGTAGTTTTCATATAAGGACTGAGGAGTGAATGGCACGTTTTGAAACTTTAACAATGATTTCATATTTCTTTAACCACTTTTTATATCAAAAAAAAGAAAAGAAATGAAAAGTATAAAGTGTGAGCGTAAATGTATGTGCCCATCATCTGTTTTTTACTGTAAGAGAGACCAGTAGGAGAATTTAAACAAAATCATAAATCATAAGAGGGCAAATATTAATCTTTTTTGTTTAATCAGGTTTTACAGTTACTGGCACTGCAATAATGTCATGTCAATGACAAAAAATAATTAGCACAGTCACTCCTTTCAGAGAGGAAGATCAAGACACCTACCTGGGACCACGTGACTGGATCCAAAGGCCTGAGGAGAACTGATTTTTGGATCATTCTTTGAATCTCCACGTCCCAATTTAGCATTCTGTGCTGCTATCTGACGTGCAAAAATACTTTTTCTGCCTCCAGGTACTGCTGCCTGTCCAAGACAATTTCAACACCTCAGTCAAATAAAGAACCAAAATGCTTCAATATCCTAAACAATGTCTAGACACTTTCAACAGGAACAATATCTTGATCGTGTGTAATTTAAAGCTCCAGGTCCTTTTAAAATGTATTCCCTGCTGCATGCTAAGAACTCCCACCTGCTTCTCTGCTGTGGACCGGTGCAGGACTTTGGGGAAAGCTGTGCTTGTGAAAGCTGGGAACGACACTGGTATTGCACTTGTGTCTCTCTCCTGCAGTGAGATAGGTAGTAGGTATTCAATAGGGTGAAACACATATTGATGGAAAATAATAATACAATCTACTAATCAAGTCAGCTCACAACAATCCTGGAGAGGACGGCACTAATGTGAGTGTCGTGTCTGTCCAGCAGCTCCTCTGGATCTTCATTCTCAAAACGCACTCGCCCCTTTTTGAAACGGGACTTCTTGGGGGGTGCAGGGGTCAGACTGGGGAGCTCATCAGGTAGATCTGCACATACAGAAGCATTTCTATCAGTCAAAGAGTGAACTATACAATGGATGTTGATGGAACAAGAAAAAAGTTTGGATACATTTGCAGAATCATAATTACAGGCAATGATAATGTACACTTTCTTAAGTGAATGAGAGAGATAAGATGTGGATTAATGAGAAAAATCTGCGTAATTCACTAAAAAACGCATGTTTCTCTCAAAAACTCCTTATTTGGGGGGTGGTTGCGGGGGTGGGGGTAGTTTTAGGAATACATTTGAATATTCCTTTCAGTACAAATGCAAGCATTAAAGTGCCAATGTCATAGAAAAACAATAAGAATTTCACTTCAAAATGATGTAATATGTAAAGACAATTAAACTTTCTAAACAAACTGGGTCTATACAGTCAATGTATGGAAACTGAGCTACAAAAACAGCCCATTTTGAATTCAGTGTTTTTGTGATGTCAGAAAAAAATACATATAGCACAATTACATATATCCACTTTCTGAACTCTGCCTATTCACACAGCTGTTACAATAAGTGTTTTACTCTGGACTGCTTGAATGAGGCACAATACATTGCAATCAGAACAAAAGTCACTCAGAGTTACATATATAACTCTGTAGGGCACTGTAAAAGAATTTCAAATCTATTTTTAATGGTGAATTCTAAAGGATAAAGAGAAATTCGAGACTGTTCATGTAAAAAAATATATATATACTAATTTTGCTACACAAATCCAGTGGCCTGCGAAAGTTAGGGTCCCCAAGGTCAGAATATCTGTTGGTTAAACATTATTTCCAAAAGGCTTCAAGTTAAAGATAACACATTTCTTTAACATTTTAAGCGAGACTACTTTTAAATTTCAATCTTTTACAATTTCAAAACAAAGCAAAAAGTCTGGGCCACCTGCATGGTCAGTACCTAGCAAAATGCCCTTTGGCAAGTATCACAGCTTGCAAATGCTTTTTGTAACCAGTCTTTCAGTACAAATGCAAGCATTAAAGTGCCAATGTCATAGAAAAACAATAAGAATTTCACTTCAAAATGATGTAATATGTAAAGACAATTAAACTTTCTAAACAAACTGGGTCTATACAGTCAATGTATGGAAACTGAGCTACAAAAACAGCCCATTTTGAATTCAGTGTTTTTGTGATGTCAGAAAAAAATACATATAGCACAATTACATATATCCACTTTCTGAACTCTGCCTATTCACACAGCTGTTACAATAAGTGTTTTACTCTGGACTGCTTGAATGAGGCACAATACATTGCAATCAGAACAAAAGTCACTCAGAGTTACATATATAACTCTGTAGGGCACTGTAAAAGAATTTCAAATCTATTTTTAATGGTGAATTCTAAAGGATAAAGAGAAATTCGAGACTGTTCATGTAAAAAAATATATATATACTAATTTTGCTACACAAATCCAGTGGCCTGCGAAAGTTAGGGTCCCCAAGGTCAGAATATCTGTTGGTTAAACATTATTTCCAAAAGGCTTCAAGTTAAAGATAACACATTTCTTTAACATTTTAAGCGAGACTACTTTTAAATTTCAATCTTTTACAATTTCAAAACAAAGCAAAAAGTCTGGGCCACCTGCATGGTCAGTACCTAGCAAAATGCCCTTTGGCAAGTATCACAGCTTGCAAATGCTTTTTGTAACCAGTCTTTCAGTTCTTGTTTGGCAGATTTTTGCCCAATTTACCTTGCAAAACGCTCATAGCTCTGTGAGATTCTTGGGCTATCTTGTAGCAGATTTTAAATGATGTTTAGGCCGAAGGACTGTGAGGGCCATGGTAAAACCTTTGGCTTGAGGTAGTCCATTGTGGATTTTGAGGTGTGTTTAGGATTATTTTCTTGTTGTGAAAGTCATCCTCTTTTCACGTTCAGCTTTTTTACAGACGGTGTTATGTTTGCTTCCAGAATTTGCTGGTATTTAACTGAATCCATTCTTTCCTCTACCAGGGAAATGTTCCCAGTGCCACCAGCTGCAGCATAAGCCCAAATCATGATCGATCCACCCCCCTGCTTAACAGTTCATCTTTTCATGAAATTCCGCATCTCTTTTTCTTCAAACACACCTTTTCTCACCGCGGCCGAAAAGTTCTATTTTAACTTCCTCAGGCATAGGACTGTTTCCAAAATGCATCCGATGTTTAGATGTTCCATTGCAAATTTCTGATGATGAATTTTGTGGTGAGGATGCAGGAAAAGGTTTTCTTCTGATAACTCGTCCAGGAAGGTCAGAACAGTGCACCACCATTCCAGGGTCTGCTTCCTGAAGTTCTTTTTGCAGTTAAACTGTGGTTTTAACTTACCTTTCTAGTAATGCTGCAAGCAGTTGTCTCTGATATTTTTCTTGATCTTCCAGACATCGACCTGACCTCTACCATTCCTGTTAATTGCCATTTCTTAACTATGTTACAAACAGAGGAAATGGCTCCCTAAAATGCTTTGCTATCTCCTTATAGCATTCTCCTGCTTTGTGGGCATAAATTATTGTCATTTTTAAAGTGCTAGGCAGCTGCTTAGAGGAGCCCATGGCTGCTGATTGTTGGGACAAGGTTTGAGGAGTTGAAGTATTTGTAAAGCTCTTAAATTTACATCACCTGGATTTCCCTAACTACAATTGTGAACAAGTCATAGCCCTAAGAAGCTAATTAAGCTCTGAGAGCTTGGTAAAGGTTTTCTGAGAGCTCAAATTTCTTGAGGTGCCCAAACTTTTGCATGGTCCTCCTTTCATTTTTTTCACTCTAAAACTGTACAAAAAATACACTAATCTTGATTAAAATTCTGAAAAGAATGCTTTATCTTTAGCTTTATGCCTTTTGGAGATCAGTTCATCTTCTACTCACTTGACAGTAACATACTTTTGCCCAAACTTTTGCATGCCACTCTATATATGAACAGCATACATGACAGCAACTACTAACTTGATTTTAAAACGCGAAACCTCTCAATATGAACACTGATAGGAATGTGACACGACTGTTTGCTCTACTCAGTACTGAAACAATGTTAGCTCTTACTATTCTAGCTATTTTTTATCATCCAGCTCGGGAGAAAGGACGCACCTGCTATGGTCACCACGTCTCTCTGGGTCTCCTGCGTCTCCTCGCTGTCATCGCCCGTTTTCTCTCCTCTCCGCTTATCGGGTCTCCTCACTACATTCACCGCCGACTGACTCCCCGAGGCTAAAAACCTCTCCTGCTCTCGGAGCAGGTCCGACTCGGAGTCTGTGGGCTTGGGACGCCGTAACATCCCCAAATCTGAGTTTAAGAAAAGACACACGGGTCATGATCCACAGGTCGCACTCCAGCGTTTAAAATAAGCTCATGAGCGCTCATGACTGCATGTAGCTCATACAGACGGAGTTCAGGAGCTCCAGTAAACAGAAGCGGAGCCGCTGACAGAACTGAGACTGACAGGTTTGTTTATTAGCAAGCTCGGTACTCACTGCTGCAGAGAAATGATACAATAAGGTATCTAGAAACACGGAACAAAATTATAACATGCAGAAATACAAGCATTCAATCATATACTTTACCTTTTTAGGTAGAAATATTTATAGATACTCTAATCCTCTTTTACAAAACGAAATTTGCAGAATTCAACCGGCTATTGAGACTCGACACACATGCTGCTGTTTGTATGAGAACTACGTCCGGTTTGTGTGTGCTGTCAAATTTCAAAATAAAAGACTTATCATGACAACAAATGTGATTTCATGGTTTACAACTATTTTTGGTATGCTTCTAATTTAAGATATACCACAAAAAGGTATTCCCCAATAGGCATCTAGGGAGTGCAGAACTACAAAATGGGCAAATATAAAAACAGTTCAGTAACACCGCTTTGCATCCTCACTGTATGTGTATGAATTGTGAATATTCTAAAAGGTTGGTATCCCAATAAAAAATGGATAACCTTTTATGATTTATGGCTTCTAAAACAGCTTATGAAAAGTTAAATATGAGTAATATCAATGATAAGGTTTGTGAGGACTAGACTAGTTCACTTCACATCTCTCCCTCAGTGATTCCACACCGTGCAGACTCTTCGGAGTTTCTCTCTGTGTTGGGAATCCTCCGCGGTTTGGCGCCCCCTGTCGGTCGGATTGGGAGCCTTCAGAGAGGGATCCCCCCTCGTCCTTGGCTGCTTTCCCACCGGTAGAGCCGGACGCAAAGCGCCTAGAGCCCATTTCCAGTGAGAAAAGCGGGGGTCTCCGAGCTCAGGCAGGCGAATTGACTGAAATGTCAGTCTTGCCGCAGGATGTTGTCCCCAGATGTGGAAACTGATACGACTGCGGAGGACACGGCGCCCAGCAGCTCGAACGGCGGTGAAGACACACCGGCCAGTCTCGACACGTTGGAGGAGGTGAGAGACATCAGCAGCACATTTTCACTGCTCTCTCAGAGATGGAGAGGACACTACAGGCGGAGCGGCGCTGATTAGCCTGCTGCAAATATCACAGCAGTCTTTTCATAAGTGCTTTCAGTTAACAGGGAGGTTTTGAAATGTAGTCATTTCAGGACATTCTGCAATATCTCATGTCATCTCTTCAGCAGTAAAGACTCCCAGCCTCCACTGTTCTCCGTGACGTTAAACTTTAAAGCTAGCGAGGTATTGATTGTCATTGATGCTGAAACCTATTTTAGTCCTTTGCAGCACTTTGAGTCACATCAGCTCACGCTGCAGACCGTCGGTGAGATACTTATGAACAAAACCTCTTCAAAGCAGCCCAAGTTAAGACTTCAAAATGAGCTAAAAGCACCAGGTTTATATTGGGTTAGTAGTGCCTATGGGCCCTTCAACATAACTTGCCTGAAGTACATGGTTGTTCTCCTGAGAGAACACAAGCTAAACACAAGTCTGGATTAACTTTACATGACGAGAGTCTTTAAATCATAAAACCAGCATTATTTGAACTTGAAATAGAAGATGAAATATATGGCTGCACTCAAATATTTAAATGTTTAAACAGGGGGTTCTTTAGTAAAGACAATGGTTCTGTTTAGAACCATGCTTAAATGGTTCTTTGCATGGTGAAATGTTTCTTCAGATTGATGGAGAATGTGTTGTATATGGTTCTCTATAGAACTTTTTTCAAAGTGGTTCTATATAGCACCAAAAAGGGTTCTTCTATTGTCATAAGCTTGACATAGTCACAATAGCAGAACCCTTTTTGGTGCTATATAGAACCATTTCCAAAAAGGTTTTATGTAGAACCATATACAACACATTCTCCATCAGTCTACATGGAACCATTGTCTTTACTAAAGAAAGCTTGAAGAACCATCTTTTAAGACTGAAGAACCACTTTCAAAAAGGTTCTATATAGAACCATACACATTCTCCATCAGTCTACATAAAACCATTGTCTTTACAAAAGAACCCTTGAAGAACAATCTTTTTTAAGAGTGTAGAACCACACAGGTTCTATATAGAACCATACACAACACATTCTCCATTAATCTATAGAACTATTTAATCATGCAAAGAACACATTCTCCAAGCATGCAAATGGTTCTTTGAGTGTTCATGGTTCTACCTAGAACTATTGTCTTTACTAAAGAATCCTTGAAGAACCATCTTTTTAAGAGTGTAACACCATTTTCAAAAATGTTCTATATACATATTCTACATCATTGTAAATGATCCTTTCACCAGGAGAAGAACCATTTAAGTATGAACTGATTCTATATGGAACTCATGGTTCTAAACAGAACCATTCCCTTTACTAAAAATCTGTGTGTAGAACTGACAAATCAAAGAATGGATAAGTGGTTCTTTGCATGGTATGGTTTCTCTCTATGATGGAAAATCTGTTGTATATGGATCTTTAAGGAACCTTTAAAAAATGGTGCTAAATAGCACCAAAAATGGTTCCACTATTGTACACTTGTTTGTGGTACTATATAGAACCCTTTTTGCTCAGATGGTAGATGATCTGTGCAGTGTAGTGATAAATAAAAAACTGATGTTTTTGCAATAATTATTAAAACATATTAAAATTTGTATTACACCCCAAACAGGTACACATGCACATCCACTGTAGATTGTTCTAATCCCAGAGCATCCATCACTGAATATGCTTTGCATAGCATAACATGAGGAGTGAGATGGACAGTACTGTTCAGAAAGGTCATCCAGTTTATGTTTCACCTTCATCTGAATCTCCAATTGACACATACTATTCATCCTGCTTCCTTTTATCCACGGTGACTAGCCTTTCCTGACCCTTTCATAGAGCAGTTCTTTTTAGATTCCACTCTCCTTTATGGTTCTCAGTGATGTCCCAGAGATGAACTAACAGTGTTCATTTACATTCAGCTTCAATTCAACACTGGGGATTTTTCTGTGTAAAATATTAAGGCTCTTTAGCAACAGTGGGGGACCATCAGCGAATAACACCTGCACAATGGAACCGTGTCCCCAGAATTATAATGTACTATTATAGCTATAATTATAATGAGATTAATGTAATCTCATTCACACTAAATAATTAGTAATTATAATAATTACTTAGTTTACATACTAAGAAGATTGCACTTCTTAGTGTCTTATTAGGTTAAAAGGAAATTCCATTGATTTTTTAAATTTTATGCGTGATTCAACCCTTGAGATGTAAACAAAGTCATTCAGAGAGGTTTGATGTGAATGATCATTCATTGTAGAAACACTCACTGATGGGGATTATTTGGCCCTGTAACGCGTTGCATGTGCCTCTCCACCATGAATGGCTGTTAAAAAATTCTTTTTCTTTAATCTTTAATCTTTTTCTTCAAAATAATGGTAAAAAACATCTCAGGCATCAGGCAGTGCTTTCCTAACCATTTCATGTAATATCATTACGTGATGTAGCTTTTAAAGCCATTAAACACTTTGGACGTTTGGTTGCTGTCACCACCACTGTGAACAATTCTGACTAATTAAGTTTCTTTAGAACACATCAAACCACTCTGAATGACTTTGTATACGTCTTAACCATTCAGTTACACTGAAATTTAAAAAATTGATTAAATTCTCCTTTAAGAAGTTTCTCTTTGGCCATTTGCGTTTCCAGAACACTTCTTTGTAGACATCTGTGAAGATAGGAAGAAAGAGTTTTACTGTTAGCAGTCCAGTTCTGAACATTTAATAGATGAATAATAGCTTTAGGCTGTACATTTAGCTAAGCCAAGCCCAGTTGGATCCTGATTTATTAGTCATATCTAACTGAATCAGAAAGAAGAAGAATAAAGGTTTCCACTTTGAAACATCAGACCTACATGAACAGTTCCAACATCAGGAATCCTGATTATAACTACATAATCCAGCCCAGGCCAGCTGAAGAGAGCTGGTATTTTCCACAACGAACATGTTTCTTGCTGACTTTCAGAGACATTAAAGCATTCTGTTTCATGTGCCATCTCCATTATTGATGCTATGCAGCCTTTCCTGCTCCCTTAAAAGCCTGTTGACCCTTATAAATATCAAAAGCTGTGCTATCAGCTGCCTAAACTCACAATGAAGACTGTGCTCTATTGCTGAAACTGACAACATGATATTATTGTCACTGTCAGAACAAAACCTCATATCTCCAAAGAAGTAACTTTATAGGAGAAAGAAAAACGTTCTTAACCATCTATGTGAGAATGGCCATTTCCGTGTGTGCATTTGTTGTGAAATGTTGACACAGTGTAAATGGCAGCTGGCATTTTCAAATGATGTAAAATAAAGATACAAATGGAGACACAACATTTTGGATAGCTATTATATTTCCAAGAACAGATTGATCTTAGGGGTAGGCAAAATGTCAATATACAGTATCATGATATTTATTTTTTCTTAAGTTTTGCACATTGGAACAGACAGAAGGCACCATTAGTGCCACACTTAAACAGGACCAATAATGCTCTTTTTGTAATGAAACAAGGAATGATTTTGTCCTTTAGAATTTTGTGCTTTAGGTTCTATAGGTTTAGGAAAAGTGTATTGTGCCATGATTTATTATGAAGAGGTAAAATATCGTTATTAAGCTGCACTATATAGGTTTTGGGGATCTGGAGACGTCTCTGGTGGAAATATGTAATTGCACACAATGTGCAGAAGAATATTTTGTAATGTCAGTGCAAAGAGAACTCAAAACTTGATGAAGGACGTATCTTCCAAGGATGTAAGTGATTTATCTACTATTGTCATCATATCTTCATCAGTATATTGTTGGTTTTTTGGATGTTTTTTTTTGGGAATGTGATGTTTAAGCAATAGAACACGAGAGGGAGTGATAACATCACGGCTGTGATTTGGTCACAGGCACAAACCGAAGGTGAGTACCATAGATCATCACAGAATCGAGTGATCTATTGCTTTTATACAACAGTTAAATAAATAAAGTAAGAAATAAATAAATCGGGCTGTGAACGTGTTGTTTAATATGTTTTAATGATAGCAGTTCCTTCCGCCAAATTAGTTCCTTAACAAGCAGCTCATTGCTACGTCAGAGTAACGGACTCTGCACACTCGCTGCACAGCCAGCAGTTCGTTCTCCAGCTCCTTACACTAAATTCCCAAACTGTCATCACCACTGAGCAAGCCAGAAATGAACCGAATACCATTCACCAATTGTGTAGTCTCATCTTCAGAGTCTGACCAAGTTGGACTGAGCCATAAAACTGACGCAATATCAAGTTTAGCTCAGTTTTGTCCATTTTTGCTAGATCAATATTAATGTTTTGTTCCAGCCAGTCTGTAAAGCATCTTACAGCCCATTTTGTTTAGTGAATGGTATTCAGTTCATTTCTGGCTAAATCCAGGTTGTTAAGGTTTTCTTCTGACACAGCTGTTGACTGAAAAGCTTGCTCAGTGGTAATGACAGTTTTGGAATTTAGTTCTTCAGAGTCTGACCAAATCGGCTGTAGGTCAAATGTGATCTTAAAAATCCATTTTCTGTTTGTGCACAAAGTAAGAAGTAAAAACGTTCAAATGGCTTGATTGTCTAGCAACGGCGTCTCAGCAGAGTGATACAGTGTTTGTTTGGTGAAATAACAGCACAGTTAGGAGGCTTCTCAACCAATCAGCTTGCGTGGCTGGAACTAACTGTTGTATAATATTACATAAAGATATATGATGTAGTTTGAAAAACTCCCATGAAATCTGAATCAAAGCCTCTATTTCAGGCTTTGCATGGTGATTCGCAGCAGCACATGTACACAACGTTTTAGCATTTTCCTCCTGGCCCAGTAATGCTAAAAATTACATAGCGCAGCTTTAATGAAATTTTGAGCCAAGTGTGTTGGATGGTACGTTGGAGATTTCTGGTTTGAACATGTGCATTTGGATTAGTGTATATTTGTTATAAAGTAAAATGGGGGGGGTTAGGTAAATATTTTCTGGTTATAGGTCTCTTGTTTTTGTTCAGTTGGACCAAAGATATTGATTGATAAGTCATAGTATAGCTGAAATTATGTACTTCTGAATACAGTAAAGCACAATCTCAACAATACATGCATAAATTTAATAATTCTAAAACCAAACGATGATAGAAGTGTCAGAAAACTACTTTTAGGCCCTGTATAAGACTTTTTTTGTCTATATATCTTTATGAGCAAACTATTAGTATATCACTGAATGGCTCCCTCCAGTGCCTTCTCTCTTTTCACTCTGAAAACTGTATCTGTTCTCCGATAAACACACACTTTTGGAGTTAATTAGACATACTGTAAACTAGCGAGTTTGTGCAAGAATTTAAGTAATTAAGCCTGAAATGAGAGATAAAATAGCTACACAAATCCTCTGCCTTGTCAGGTCCCCCTTACTCACCAATCCTTTTTCCTCCAGGCAAGTGTAGGTTTTATAGCCAGTGCTCACAGTGCACTTTGTTTTAACTGCGTTCAGATCAAACCGCAACTCTCGTGCTCATGCCTCAGCAAGTTGGAGCATTAAGTGGTTAAGGGTATAATGGCATATGTTAGCTGAAAATAAAAGGTATACATCTAGGAACTTGCAGTCCCTTTGGCAACGGTGCTTCGTTTGTATGGCCTTTTAAGATCAATGGACTCAAATCCCTGAAGGGTCTCAAGGATAATCTATTACCGCCTTGTCCTGTGAGTTTTCTAAGAGATCGATTCCATCCTTGTCATGCACCTGTTTTCAGTTCACAGCACTCTAGTCTGAGTATGTGTCTTAAGGCATCTTCTGCATCCTCTCTCTCTCTCCTTCTGTGTCTCTACAGCAAAGGCCAGTGAAGCAGTCCTTGAGTGCATCTATGTGCCGCGAGACGCACTGGCGCTGTCTCCTCTTGTCTCTGCTTATGTATAGCTGCCTGGGCGCTGTGGCCTGGTGCCAGCTCACTCGTGTTACTAAGCTGAGCTTTGACTCCTCCAGCACCTCCTTGATCTCCATCAACCCTCTGCGAGACAGAGGAGGCCGCTCCATGATCTATCATGACAGCCCCTGCTCCGACGGCCATGTCTACATCCCCCTCGCCTTCCTGATCATGCTCTATGCGGTCTACCTAATGGAGTGTTGGCACTGCCGCGCCCGCAGCGAGCTCCAGTACAAGGCCAATGTGGACAGCGTCTACGAAAGAGTGCTGCGCATGCGGCAGGCTCGGCCGTGTGTTTGGTGGAAAGCCATCAGCTACCATTTTGTACGAAGGACACGGCAGGTCACACGCTACCGGAACGGAGACGCCTACACCACAACGCAGGTCTACCATGAGCGTGTCAACACACATGTGGCGGAGGGTGAATTTGACTACAGCCGTTGCGGAATGAAGGATGTCTCACGGGACTTGCGTGGCTTGGAGAGTCACCCGGCTACAAGGTTGCGCTTCACCAAGTGCTTTAGCTTTGCAGGAGCAGGTCCTGAGAATGCATACCTCAACCAACGGGCCAGATTCTTCTCAGAGATTGAGGGCCTGGATGACTACATGGAGGCACGGGAGGGCATGCAGCTGAAGAATGTTGATTTCAAAGAGCATCTCATAGCCTACGTGGATCCTGACAGGTTACCCTGGTACGCATCACAGGTCGCCTTCTGGCTGGCTGCTCTCCTCATGCTGTCATGGCCCCTTCGGGTTTTTATAGAGTATCGCACGGCCTATGTGCACTACCAGGTGGAGAAGCTGTTTGGGCTGGAGTACACTAACAGCAGCCCATCTCCAGAGGATGTCGCCCCTACAGGGAATAGTCGGTGTGGAATCCCTAGAGGAGACACGGTGGACAGCACAGAGCTGGAATGGCACATTCGTTCGAACCGCCAACTAATCCCAAGCTACTCTGAAGCCATGCTGATGAACTTGGGAAACTCTGGGGCAGGCCAGGGTGACAGCAGGGCTTCCAACTGCCTCTTGCTGGTTGACTGCCCAAACCAGAACTACGGCACCTTGGTTCGAGACTGCGAGCACTGCTGCCAGCATGAAGGAGGTAGACGAGCCACCATCACCTCCAGCTGCTCCTCAATCTTTTCCCGCCACACTTCTCACTCACAAGTGTCCCTGAACACCTCCCGTTTCTCGCTGTGCCGAATGTATGGTTCCAGACACACAGTTGGGCTGTGGAGGAGCCGCAGCAGTACACTGACTGAGCACTGCTGTCCGGACGAACAATCCTGCAGGTCATACTCCAGCCAGCTGGCCCTCAACGACAGCCCACCTAACTACCAGGACGCCCGTTTCTTCCCTGTTCTCATTGTGCACAGGTCTGAGGGCTGTGGGGACTCTTCGGAAGTCAGGAGATACTATGTCCGGAGGGGCTCCTGCTGTCTGGAAACTTCACTTTAGAACTGCATGCATTGTGACTTACATAAAAGAAGATATTGGCCCAAAAGAAAGCATTATGACCTTTACAGATCTATGAAAGAATCAATGAAGATTCTGAAGGATCAAATTGAGGCAGTGCACTTTCAAGAACTTTGTGTTGCTTTAATATCCAACATAAGTGAGAAGTGAAAACACGGCAAAGAAAAGCCTCTTTGGTTGGCTAATGAACTTTTTTTAAGTTCTCTCCTGTGCACTTAAGCAACATTTTAAGTTGCCCCTCTATATCTTGAATGTGGTTCAACCCCAATGGCTTGATTTTACTGATTAAAAAAAAACCATAAAGCTTCAAATACCTTTGAACAATGCATGTATACCAAATCTTGTTTGTATCACAAAATAGGTAAATGCTTGGAATAAAGCTTGAGAGTAGATGGTAAGGAAATGTGTTCATACACCTAAGCATAGCATAGGGAGCACTACTGCTGAGATTCAAATAACAAGCATGTGAAACCTATAAAAAAGGTGAAAAGAAACATGACTGAAAAAATGTAGGGGTCTGTCTTCTGTATATGTGTAATGAAAGTAGGGAATTGTTTACTAGCTGCCATTTGCTCTTACATAATAATGAAGTACATAAAGATGATTTTTATAGATAGTTTGATTGGATAAATGTGTGATTCACATTTTCACACAAGAAGCACTTTCAGTTAAAATGTTTTGCACTGTCCTGCAGCATAGTTTCATGCATACACTTTCTTTGTGTCACTGCACTGAATAACTAGTCGTCAGGGCAGAATTATTCTGTGTTGCATTATGATTTGCACCAGCAATAAACAATTGGAAAAAGACCAGTCATACCAGTAAGTGGAGAATCTACATAGACTAGTACAATATTGCAATTTAAATACATTGTAATTTTTATTCTGCATAATAAAGAGATGTGGGTAGGCCCTAAGCCTTTAAGTAGTTTATTTTTGTTGTATTATTTAGCATTTGTGTAATCACACAAGAACAAAGAATGTGATTAAGCCAAAGTCGGTTTACATAGATGATTGTGATTGTTCAAAGAACTGTGCATGCGCACGTTTCTGCAAACTGTGCACTTAAAAAGAATGTTAAAGAAATGTAAATTATTGTACCTGGTACCTGGCTATTCAGTCATCTAGTCACCTGTGTTAGCTCCTTTGACTAGGCCTTTTTTGCTGAAGTTATAAATTCTAGGGGTTGTGATTTTTGCTAAGGAAAATTGAATTGAATCTCAAGCTCAGAATCAAAAATCATATATAAAAATAAGTATATCGTTACAGTTACTACCTGTTGAATCTACTATATTAGCCTAATAGATTGAGCTTGACAGTGGGTGGTGCAGATTCAAAGAAACAGTTATGGTTGAGGTTGGCCCATATCGTACATTATTCTTGCATTTTGTTTTGTCTCCATAACTCCAAAAGCCAAAAACATCTTCATGACCATTTTTCAACCTCTCTTTATTAATTCTCTTAATTAAAGTGTTTTTGTTACTGTGCCCATGACATATGTACTGAAATATGTAAAATGTTGTGCCTCATTCAAAAAACAGCCTGGACTGGAACACTCCTTAGAACTTCAGCGTGAATAGGTGGAGCTAAAATGCTGTAGGCTGAATAGGTGGATGTATATAAATGTATTGGTTTTTGTGTTGCCTCACAGAAATGAATTAAGATTAATTCAATACTTGCTGTTTTTGCAGCATAGTTTCCATATATGGGCTGTATGGACTGTGAACAATACGTTTGAGACTTGTGTGTTTACAGAGTAGATCATACTCTTATTTCAAAAAAGTATGGAAAATTTGATTTTCTGAGATATGTGCCCTTTAAGTACATCTGAAGTAATGTAAAATTGCAAATAGATCGGCACTCACTGCTCTGAACGTAACGGAGTGTTTAATTGTCTTTAGGAGTAAATCTCCAACACTGCTTGTCAGAATCTCTTTATGTCTTTTGGCTGAAATACGTAAATGGTGTAGCTTCTGCATATGCTATAGCTTCAAGTCATTCTTTAAACTAGACAGATTGGCTATAGTTCCCCTTAAAGTAGTTCCTGGTTTGAACTAGCTGTGGGGAAATGTGTTCTTCACAGCAAAACAACCAATGTTTAATTCACTCTTACAGTGTTTACTTTTGTCCAGCTGGACATGACCACTGTAAGTGCAGGGTTGAGCAGAATACTTTGAAAAAGTAGCGACGGCTGAACACTGAATACACTGTCCTAAATGTATTCAGTAATGTATTCCATTACAACAAAAAAGTGAGATATTCAGAGTACATTTAGAATGCATATTGTTAAGGCAGATGGGCAAAACTCTGCTGTGTATTTTTTTTTAACTTACTCTGTTCCTGCTTTACTTATTTAAGACTCAACATTATTTTGTCCCACTTTCCCTGCTGAAAAAACACATAGAAACCATTAACTGTCTCTATTGGTTCCAGATGGTTTTGTAATGTGTTTTGTCTTTTTTAATGGGTTGATATTACAATGTAACAGATCCTAATAGTTTAACAGGTGACCAATGGTAGATTCTAATTGTATTTGATGGTTTCCTTATGGGATCTAATGGTGTTCTACAGGAAACCAGTGGTATCTATTTGGAAACCATTAAGCCAATTCCCATTATAAAGCAAAAGTATTAGGTTTTAATCCTAATGGTTTCTAATGATCCTTTTTCAGCATGTCTGGTCACTGCCATCTCAAAATCTTGCAAACTTGACTAATAAAGTGGGTAGCTATGTGATTTTCAGTTAATAATATGTATGTAACGTGCAACGCAGTGTATGCAGGAGTCCAGTAAAATACCAAAGCCAGGCTCACCACTCGTGAAGGTCTAACATCTCTCAAAGAATGTAATGCTGAGACTAATAACTGATTATCAAATTGGTTTGTCAGTGTACTCAGGCTTTAGCAAGAACTTCACACACTGTTTGCTCATTTTAAAGTAAACAAGCATTGATGGTGTTTCTTTTAAAGATGGTATATCATTTTTATTTAGTAGATAAGTATTCTAAAAGTATTCTCTTAAATATTAAAAGTAACTGCATTCTGAATACTGCCCTTACAAAATGTGATTTGGACTGAATACAGATACTTGATTTCTGTATTCTGAATGCATATTCCCAGTACTTATATTCCAATACACCCCAACCCTGCTGTAAGTGTTATATCAGGATATCAGGATTACATCTGTAGATGTAAAGTGGACACTGTAGGGGTGTTTCAACCCTGCAGGCTTTATTTCAGCTCTGCAGATTTCCCCTCACTGTGTTCATTCAACGCTGGAAAGTTTGCTGCGTTCACGCTTATTAAATCAGGCAAGTGCTGTTAAAATGGCCGTGACTGTTACAATAAAATAAACTTTGTGAAGATGGTGAAATGTCCTGTATCTTCTTTATTAATTTAAATCTCATCGGCTGTGCAGGAAAACTAATTTTATTATTATTTTTTTTAATATTAAGATTCAGATTTCAGATTGTGAAACTCTTCCGCTCAGCGCCGTTTCGTCGCCATGGTGACGCGTATCCATGCGCGCGCACATTGTTTTAGTGCAACTGGCGTCAACACACGGAACTAAAGAGACAGACAAACAAAAGAGTCGAAAAGTTTTTAAAACACTTTGTGTATCTGTGTCGAGTTCCTCCAGAGCATAACCTGTTTGTGAGGCGAAGATTACTGTAGGATTCTCTTGGTGAAGCAGTAGGTAAGCTTTTTTGTAAGTATTATTTTGTAGCGGTGGACGTGGAGCAGCCTGCTTTCACAGTCCGTAACGTAGACCTACAGCTAACGGTGTATTTTTGTGGCTACACAAGTGTTAAACACTGCGTCTTGCTGTTGACCCATTTATGTCCAACCACCACATTTAATGTGGAAAGATGCCACATACTTTGTTCTGCTTAGTCTAAAGCGACGTTTTATATGTGTTTTTATTGTTTTGTTAAATTCAGTAGCCCCATTAGACCAGCATTCTTCATTTAATGTGACTGAAGAATGTCTTTAGATTTGTAGTCAGGCGAGCTAAGAGTAGATATGGACCAAAGGAATTCAGTTTAGATATGCACGTGAATGGTGAATTCCAATAATTAAAAAAAAAGGTTTGTATAATTTTCTTTGCAATAGTGGTGCACACAAATATAGCCATTTTATTTGCTGTTCGACTTAGTTACATGTCTTTATTTTGATATCTTGTGTTGATAACGGTATAATTATGGTAAAACTGGAAAACATGTTATTCTGAAGGGGGACTGTTTTGCCTCATAATGTCCTATATGTCCCTCTCCAATATGAATGGATTTTAAAAAATAGGTTTTAGGCCTAAACCTCATCTCAGAACTGTTGCAGCAATCAAGTAATTCTTTTGTGTAATGATGTAGCTTTTAGAGGCATTCAGTTCTTCAGACGTCTGGTTCCTATCACTGTAAACACTCTGACTTGGTAAGTTTCTCTAAAATAGTGCATTTCACATCAGTCCACTTTGAATGACTTTGTTTACATGACTGAATTATGCGGCTGTTTGAAAAGTTGGTTAAGAACTATCAAAACTGTGGCCATAAACATGAGCAGCAGTCTCAGTGTTTTCTTATTATTTGATATATTAATTTATCTAATAATAATTCTAAAAATTAACTAAAGCTTATAACTGTTCATGTGCTTGGTTTCTACCCAGTTCATTCTTAGTGAGGCTCGACTTAAGCTCCATGGATTTACAGCAGCAGTCAAAAGGCAGCATGGAATATTACCACTCTCTGAGAGGGAAGCAGCTTTACAGACAGCTCCTCAGAAATGCCTCTGAGGGCCTGTCCTTTTCTCAAGATGTCATGTGGGAAATGGGGGCGGATGGCATTTCATACAGTAAAGCTGACTTCAGCTGGCTTTTCCGTGCTACCGGACCTTTGGCACCAGGCGCCAAACCCAAGAGCAGAAAGAAAGCAGCAACGAAGGTATCACCGTGCCACATAGGTCACAAAGCACAGGAGAAGGAGAAAGACTTGATGGGGGTTCCACTACCAGTCTTGCCACCATTACAGACCACACATTACAACTCACTCACTAATAAGGAGTCATTTACAATTCCCAGCCAACAAGGTGGGATGTTGGTCTCCTTTAAAGGGACAGAATTGAGACGGGCCTCAAATGTGTACAGCTGCCTCAAACAAGAGACTGCAGGGGTCCAGGAGGAGCATAGCAGGAACAACAAGTGGAATGAGTTTGTGCTAAAGAAGCTGACAAAGACCACTGCCCAGTGGATTATCAGCCAGCAGATCCCCAAACAGAGTCAATACAAAGCAGGCCTGCAGTCACTGCTGAAGGATCAGTATGGGTCAGCTAGTGCCACAGACCTGGTGACCGACGAGCCCATGCGTGAGAAAGACTTCTGTGGGTTCAATGATGCACCTAGACCCAGCTCAGAACCCAAATGTCTGCAGAGCAGCAAGGCCAAGATACCTTTACCAGTTTATTACAGGTAAGTAAAATAAGCCTTTTTTTCTTTAAATGTGTTCTTTTCTTTTAGTTAGTTAGTTTAGACTGCCTGGCAAAATAATCTTAGCTTTTAAAAAAGGATTTTCTTTATCAGTTTGCTGAACTTAATACATGAGTTAATTGAGTAATTGTTGAGATGTAAACAGTCATTCAGAGTGATTTGTTGTGAAATGGTTCAAAATCCTTCTAAAGTGTTCTGTCCTGGGCCTAAACTGTCTAAACCTCCTCCCTGAGAGTAGAAGCTCTACAAGAGGAAAGACTGAATGGAAGTGATCCTTGTTGATGTTCAAGGCCTTTTGGTGGAGGCGAGTCTAATAAATTAAAGATAATGATGGCAGAGGATCACCAGAAATCTTAGATGCAGTCTTCCTCATCCTCCTTAACTGATTCATCTCCGCACAAGTTAGACTACTACACTTTGTTACGGTAGAGGAGGTGAGCACACTCTCTATAACAAACTTCTAAAAAGAACCAGAGCTTTTCCAGACACTCTAAACTTCTTTCACTTCTTCTTTGGCGTGTAGACTTTAATATGTTATGTACATTGCTCTCCCATTTAAGTTCAGCAGCTAATTATAGTGCCAAGAAAATTGACTCACTCACCCTTTCCACAACCTCACCATTAATTTCAAGTAGCCTTATTTCTCTCTCCCCTGTACTAAAATTAATTCTAGTGTCAGTAGTTTTCCCGATGTTGAGTTATTTAAATTATTTCATTGGTTCAATTCTGTCTAAAGCTTCCCTTTTATGCTGATTTGCTATCACCAGTTAGCAGCTCAGTCACTCTGGTATCATCTGCAAACTTAAGTAGTGTAATGTTAAAACAGTGGTAAATCTGCAAAAAAAAGTTTTCTTTTGAGATTATTTTGCCTTAGAACACCCTGCTTGTGCATTTTTCCCTGAATGGATTAAAAAAAAATACACTTTCTACACAACAATTACACAATTATTAAATGTCCGTAACACGCTCCTAGGAATAGCATGTTAATCATTATCTAATATTTGTTAATGATGGTTAGTGATTGTTATTTGAGTCTTAATAAGTGCAGTTTAAATTGTTAACCACTTATTTAAGGAAGTAATATAATACATCTTTGTAAATATGTTCTAAAGTCACAACCTAATATAACAGAGGTCCAATTAATGACTATTAATGTTTAAAAAGTATGTATTAACCACTTAATAATGATTAAGTAAGCATTAAGGAAATGTTTAGGCATCACAAAGTAGCAAGATACTAAATAGCTACATTCATTGCTACATTTTATACAACAGTTAGTTCAGCCACGCAAGCTGATTCAAGTCAAGTCAAAGTTTATTTATATAGTGCTTTTTACAACAGGTGTTGTCACAAAGCAGCTTTACAGAAAAATCTGGGTCTGAGCCCCCATGAGCAAGCCAGTGGCGGATTGGTTAAGAGGCGTTCTAACCGTGATGATATTTCGCCGTAACACCACGGGTTTTCACAAACATTGTATCACTCCGCTAAGACGCCATTTCTAAGCAACAAGTTTGACAGCTGTAGGAGACAATCAAGCCATTTGAACGTTTTTACTTCTTACTTTGCGCACAAACAGAAAATGGGTACACATTTGACCTACAGCCGATTTGGTCAGACTCTGAAGATGAGACTGCACTAAATTCCCAAACTGTCATCCCCACTGATCAAGCTTTTCAGTTAGCAGCTGTGACAGAAGAACACCTAAACAACTTAGCCAGACATGAACCGAATACCATTTGTCAAACGTGTAGTCTCATCTTCAGAGTCTGACCAAATCGGACTGAGCCATATAACTGCCGCAATAAAAAACAAAAAAGCTGCTCAGTGGTGATGACAGTTTGGGAATTTAGTGTAAGGAGCTGGAGAACGAACTGCTGGCTGTGAGCAGAGCTCATTACTGTGACGTAGCAATAAGCTGCTTGTTAAGGAACTATAATTTAGCGGAAGGAACTGCTGACATTAAAACATTAAATGACACGTTCACAGCCCAATTTGTTAATTTTTTACTTTATTTATTTAACTGTTGTATAAAAGCAATAGAACACTTGAGGTCGTGTGTTATCGCGAATAACACCACGGCTGTGATTTGGTCGCAGACACAAGCCGTAAAATTTAAATATGTATTATATAGAAATAATACATATTTAATATATATAATTAAAAAATTTTAAGAATATTTGACAATAGTTAAAAACAGTGAAAGTACATATTTGTTTACAGTATGTCTACATGGCGAAGGTGTGTAACAGTTACACCTGCTCAGTGTGTTTTCTTTTATGAACATTTATTTAATTTATTGTACCATACAGTCAAACTTGATATAGTTGCTAGTGTTAAATATAGTAAGTTATTGTAATCCAACAAAGAAAACATGCATATTTATTGAAACGTTTTTTTTTTTTTATCTTGATGTCTCCAAACATTTGACAGACAGTGTATATATCTTATGTAGCCTTAAAGGAAATTAATTCTTTATTTTATTAGATTTTAATCTGCTAAAATTGAGAACTGAATATAGACTCAGTACAGTGATCTTAACGTAATAGTATACCATGTATATCTGTGTGGGATACTAATTTTCTCTTCACAGGATACAGGGTTATGTTGTCTCACCAGTTTGCACAGACGAGCAAGGTGGGTTTAACCAGACGGCGAACACTGTGACCGTTAAACATGTGGAGACCCCAAAACCTCCTCGACTGCAGGACAGCCTGAACCCACGTGCTGGAAAATATGTTTATTACACTGAGAATGACTTTGAACAGGAACTCTACTCAGGTAGATAAGATACATTCTGGCTGTCTGGTCAAAATGTGCCCACAGCCTTGTGTATTGTGTATTTATTTTTTTATGTATGTATGTATGCATTTTAGGTCTAGAAAGGTTCTCAAACTCAACTCTTGAAAAGCCCTGAACAACACTGAATGACTAAATGTTTTTCAGCCAGTTATCAAGCTCTTTATGAGTTGAATAAGGTACATCAGAGAAACATTAAGGACTGGAGCTGGAGAACTATAGTATAGTAAAATTAATGTTATTGTTCATGCACCTTAAATTTCAGCCTGAAGTCAATGTGCTAGTCACTTAGAAACTCTCCATATGAGTTGAGTTTTTGTGTCATTTTTAGGAATAGCCAAACAAGTACATCAACGAGACAGAGGAAATGAAGACCGCATCATTTTGGACAATAACTCAGAGTACCAAAAGAACCTCCAGGAGTTGTTTCCATGTGGCCCAGAGAAGTGGACACATGTGACTGAAGGTTTGTGTTTAAGAGACTAAGATCTCAGAGTTAAGACATGGTAGCTGTGTACTGTGTAAAATACTAGCTGGACTCCTAAGCACATGAAAATCTGCAAGGACAGCTTCAAGCAGCAACACTGTAGATGTGGCGTAATTTTAATGTCTTTGTTTACCTTGTCAACTTCTGTTGCATTCTTTTGTCTTCAGCAAAGATGGGTAGGGTGGAGAAAGGGGTGCGGCGGTGGGTGGACCTGCCCACCAGAGCTGATTATGGTACAGAGCTGGGGCTCAGGCCTCCTGATTACAGTGGACAAGCCACAGAGGTGCCCAAACAGCAGGTTCACTATAACCTGATACCGGAGCTGTCTTCCCTCCGCTATGCAGTGGAGGAGTGGAGAAATGCCTGGAAGATCAGTGAGTACTCACAGCATTATGATCCCCAACAAAACAGTGTTGTCCATTCAGTCATAACTTGGCATGGACACTTTAACATTCACTTGGCACACATTCACTTGTCTTTATTGTGATAGCTGCTGGTAATACTACTTCACGTTGATATTTTTTTTTTAAAGAGATTACCTGGCAGAGTGTCACTGTTGAGGGCTTGAAGAAGGCTCTTACTGACCTGCACTACCATGTGCGGCTGGCAGCCATTGCTACCTGTGCATCGGGTGCAGTTCATAGACCACAAGAGGAGCTGGCTGCAAGTGAAATAGGTTAGTCCATCAATTAGGTTAGTCCAAAATAAATAAAAACAAAACAGCTTTTATAGTAAATCATTTTAATAAAACCTACAATACCATGATTGCGTAAGTGTGGACTCCCTTTTATAATGGGGGCTATCGCTGTGTTCAGAGTTAACAAATCATATTCAAAATCACATCCAAAGATAAGCAGCATACATACTCACACTACCAATTCTGAGTAACCCCAAATTAGAATTTAGTCCTGTAGGATTTCTTAGAATGTGGTTGCATTCTTCTATTACATCCATGGTCCTTAAGGATCTGGTAAAAGAAATACAGAATCAGATCAGGAGAAGGGTATAAAAGAATATCAGAGGCAATGGATGTACCACTGAGCACTGTGAAGACTCTCATCAATAGATGCAGAAAATGTGGCACCACAGGGACATGGCCAAGGTCAGAAAAATCCTCAAACATTAATGACAGGACAAGGAGAAAACTAATCAAGGAGGCTACCATGAGTCCTAAAGCAATGTTTAAGGAGCTGGAGGAATTCTACAGGTACTGGTCACTCTTTGCATGTGACAATGGAAGCCATTTTCACAAAAATCCATGAAACCCATTGCTTGCTTGCTAAATAAATAAATGCATACATACATACATACATACAATAAAACCATCTAATGAGACAAAGTTTTTGGCCTCAATTCTGAATCCAACACAGCTCATAAACTAAAGAATACCATATCTACTGTGGTGTTAGAAACGTCATGTTTTGAGCTGCTTCTTTTCAGCTGTGACAAGGGGAGCTAGTCAAGATAAATAGGATAATGACAAGCTCCAGATATTAATATATTTTGCCACAAAACCTGCTAGCCTCTGTTGGAAAGCTGAAGAGGAATTTCACCTTCCAATATGATAATCATACAAAACCCTATATTCAAGTCAGCCGAGGAGTTGAATACTGAGAATACTGAATCACTTCAGTCCAAAGTGGCAGTGTGAAGCTGAAGCCCCAAACATGAGTGTAAATGCACTATTCTTTGTTTAGCTCTGCATGGTCGAGGATGGGAAGTGGAGCCAGTGCCTCCAGAACTGCAGCCCCTTCTCCTCTCTGCTCTCAGTGACCCAGTGAAGAGAGTTCAGATGGCAGCGGCTGTGTGCCAGTATGCCATGGGTACATCCAATCCACATGCACGGGACATACTGCGAAATGTTCTACACCAGGGTGAGTGTGGAGATTGGTGAGCATACAAATAACAGCTCCTGGGCACAGATCAAAGGTTAATTGAAAGAAAAAATATATCTCTTAACAACTTAGACTAATTATTTCACAATTGCATTTATATACATTTATATTTATTTGCTCACCTGTAATAAACAGACCAGAGTGAAAATATGTCTCCATATATGATATCATTATCTGCACATCATTGTCCCTGAAGAATAATTAGACCCGTTTGTGCCGAACTACAGATTCTTCAGGAATGGGGGCAGACAGCTGGGTTGCCGCACAGTGTCTGGCGATGGAGGGTGAGGCCAGTCGGTCTGTCGTAGAAAGACTGCTTTCTCAGCACTTTCTCAGCGAGGCTCCAGCAGACCAAGATCAAGCTGCCACTTTGCTTTCCAGCATTAGTAGCAAAACTGTAAGTTACTGTGGTCTTTTGAGGAATACTAACATATTTAAGCAGGAGTGTGATATTGTCAATACAAATTCAAATCATTTATAATATTAATGACTGAAGCACACATACACACACACACACACACACACATTTTCTAAGCTGCTTATCCTTCAGGGTCGCGGGGGTGATCTAAACAGTGTATTCCAATTTAAACTTGTATCGACTATAGCCGCTCTGTCTTTCCTGAGGTTCTTTCATTTCATACCACTGTCGGTGTGCAAAACTAGGTATTTGTCTGCATCTTATCAGAGTAAAATAAGATAGCAGTGGAACGGAGTGTATGCTGGGGCAGTGGTTCTCAAACTGGTCCTCAGGGACCAGATTTTTGCTCAATTTACATTTTTGTACAATCCCTGTGTGTTGGGTTTAAGCAAAAATCAGGACCGCTTGGGGGTCCTTGATGACTGGTTTGAGAACAACTGGGTAAGGCTTGTGGGGGTTGTGACTTTTGGGGCTTATTTTGTTATTGGAAATCTAATTAAACTGTATGATATGTGTTTTGTTACACCACAGCGTGTAAGGCATTTTCTTTCCTAATCAAATAATGGGGCCAAATGTAATCATCACACAGTTACTGCATGCCAACCTATGTTCTAATTAATTCTGAAATTTCATCTAGATCATTGCATTCCTGGGATTTGTTGCCACATTTTCTTTTGTTGTTGGATAATAGTGGTCTATGCATTTATTAAAATTCATGATTTATTAGGGAATGTGGAGATAGCAGTACATTTAGTATTGAGATTTTTCTTATGAAGTCAACCTGTAAGGTTAGACCTTTGGGGTAAGATGTCCCCCCTCAGACACTGGGCAAAAGGCCCCCTTTAGCACATTGGCCTTGAAATATTATCTTGCTATAGCGAAATATTAGCTAGTTATAGCAAGCATTAGTAGAATTAGGCATCATTTTTAGATGTGTGCTGGAGATTTATACATGAGATTTGCAGCTCGGCAGAGTTGCATCCACACCTGATCTGTTCTGTCATGTGTAATAATCATTTACACATACCACTTAGATGTTGAATGCTATTGATTTGTTTAAATAATAATTGTTGTTGTTGCTATAATAACAACCATAATAAACCATTAACTAAATTATCATTTAAGTAATATAATCACAAAAACTATTTAATTAACAAGACATTTAATGTTTCTATTTTGACGATCTGTAAAATGTATACAACAAGGTGACGCAAGGCTTTTAAGAGTTTCCATTTTGTGCTAGAAAAACAAAATTTACCATTGTTATTGACTGCTGTGCAGTTGTTTTCCCCCAGCCTATGTGTAGGTTTAGCATCATCATCATGTACATGCAGTGGTTTACCTTTACATCAAATTGACATTGTTTTTAGGGGGAGGTGTTTCCCTGACTTTACATTACCCAGGTGTTCTGTCTTTCTGCTCATTCATCCATTCTTCATCCATTCTGTCCATCCTCACTTGATACTTGGTTTTCAGGATTACAATAATTTTTACCAGTCAAACTGAACTACCTCCCTAGACTCTAGTGCGTTCTCGGCTGGCAGAGGAATTAAACTGTGGTAACTGGAAAACCAGAGTCCTGGCTTGCAACACCATCTCACAACTCAAATGCCAAATGAACAAGGTACTCTCTAACTCATGACAACATGAGGCTAATCATGAATGCTCTATACTACAGTAAACTGAACTCATTTTACCCAAGTAAGAGCTTTAAACATGATCAATGACGATTTTTCACTGACAGTTGCTTTTTGTTTTTCCAGGATCTCACTAACAAGCTGATCCACCTGATGTGGAATGACTGGAGCGGTGCAGTGCGTCAGGCAGCAGCACAGGCCCTGGGCAGACTGAACCTGGGCAGTGACGTACATGATGAGTTGATGTATTTGACTCCTCCTGACCATTAAGAACGTGCCTGGCTATTGACTAAGAGCTTCAAATTGTTTTATTACTAACTCTATTCTTTTGGTAGAATAAAACTGGATGAGGGTCCAACTTCTAGGCGTGTAGAGGCACTGGTTCTTATTGGTCAGCTGAAGATAATGACAGCCAAACTACTTCCTGCTTTCTTGGGCTGTCTGATTGATGACTTTGTGGTTGTACGCAAACAAGCCTGTTTGACTGCTGCCTCTCTCATGCTGAAAGATGAGATGGTAAGGACTGAGCTGAGCAAATGGGCTCATCAACATTTGTTTTGACACAGAAGAAGGATAACTGAACAAAACTGAATGAACTGAATTCATAAAACTACACATTATGGACAAGAGCATAAATGCAGCTAATTATTAGTTTCTTTATTTCAGATCATGGAACAGCTCACTGATTTAATGCAGAATGACACATCATGTGATGTGAAGGTGGTAGCAATCAGTGGTAAATCAGATAGAAACAAACCCTTAATTAATTAGGCTAATTAAAACTTCATACTGATTTGTTTCTTTAAGTCCCATTTCTTGATGGGTTTTGTACAGCTTTGGGGAAAATTGGGTGCCTGACACCTGCGCTTGAGGAGCTCTTGCTATGGGCACTACACCATGAGGAAGAGCCCAGAGTGCGCATTGCTGCCTGTGAGGCCCTGAAGACATTAGGCGTAAAGGGTCCCAAGCTACAGCATCTCCTGCAGGAGCGCTTTGTCCTGGAACCCAATCCTCAGGTTCACAGGTCTGAGCTCAAATTATACTGTGCCACTTTTAGCATAGAACTTTGTAGAGTGTTGAAATTACGGCTGGTTCTCGCTCCAAGCCTCAAATAACCTGGGGGCCACTAGTCAGGTGGTTGACTGGGAAAAGTCCCATATCCCCCTTCCCCAAAGTGCCAAATTTTAATTATATAACAGCTAGTGCATCTTAGTCAATGCTTGTTAAAAATTCTTCTGTCACCACAAACAACTACATTTACTAGTAGTAGAAGCATAAACACATGAAATCTATATCGTAAAAATTTTAGTGTTTAATCAAATAAACTTACATTTAACAGTAGAATTTTATGGGACTCATTGCGATAGTGTTGGCATTCCTGCTAAACACAAGGGAAGTGTTGCCAAAACAAGGAGTTAACCTGCATTCTCAGTGGATCTGTTTGATAATTAGGTTTGTTTCTTAATTCTGACACACTGTATCTACCGCTACGTCCTGAATGAGTAAATCCACAAAGTTAGGTTTAACTAACTATGGGTCTAAATTAGAATAAAAGCATTGCAACCACGCCTCCTCAGCGTGAAGCATTTGCGCTCATCGGGTTTTAGTTTGAATGATTCCTCTTGCATGCAGTGCTCTATTTAAGGATTTAAGGATAAACTGTAAATACATGAAGGGCCATATGAAGCTGCCCATGCCAGTAGTTTTTATATATATATATATATATATATATATATATATATATATATATATATATATATATATATATATTATTTTTTTTTACATGTTGCTCAGTGAAAAGTACAGCGAGTCAATGTTCATGCACCATTAGTGGTGTTTTATTCTAAATTACTGAATTAAAAAGTGGCTAACATGCTAGTATCTATGACCCATGACTGGCCTGATGAGGTGTTAGGCTGACTCACATCAAGTTGCTAGCTAGCTAGTTTACACCCATATATATGAAAACAGCAGCCTGATGATTGATCCTGTTTACCCCGGTCTCTTTATGTAACTTGTATCTGGATTTTTATCCTGATAAGATATTAGCAGCAATCATTTACACTTGGTAGTCAAATGAGTCTCTGGTTAGACAGACTGAACTCCAATTGCTGTGTGATGGAATACGCAAATCCGCTTGTTACACGGCAACCAACTAGTAGTTGTTCATAACGTGGCTTAAATGCATCTCGGATCACCTCCTGAAGTGGTTTTAGTGGATTTTTATCTGTTTCAAATGCATCTTGGGTACGTGTAAACTTGTATTTTTATGTGGCCTTATTCAATTAAGGGTCACTGACAGAGTCATAGACTACATGAAGCACCTCTTTGTTTGGTTGAACAGTGGAATCATGTATTGATTTTCAAAAGTGCACCTTGGAACTTAACTTTTGTATTACTTATCTATTAAACAAATATTAATTACTTCATTTTCATTCTTGCATACAAAACATCCTTGGTAAAATGTACCAAAAGGGAATATATATATATATATATATATATATATATATATATATATATATATATATATATATATATATATATATATATATATATAAAAAAAATAGCCTGACATATACTCTTGGCATGATGAATATTCTTCCTATATCTTCAGACTTCATATCGTCGGTACAAAATAGTGTAAATTGGTTACAACACAACTGTTAAAAACACCTTGTCACAGTCATATCGGCTTTCATTTCTTGCACTCCAGGCACATTGAAGCAATGTTAAAAAGATATGGCTACAGTCTGGAAGGAGACAAAGGCATGGTTTGCAGGATAACAGACCAGGTTAGTGTGCTGTAAATCAATGTGTTACATTTAATACTTGACATAATTTGTACAGGTAGCCCTTGTATGTATAAATACAGTTTTAGAGTCAGTTTATGTTCTTCCTGCACTGCTGATCTGTAGGTACAACAACTGTGCTCCAAGAACATCATCACAGAGAAAGTTCTGCTACTGGAAGAGCTGACGCAGCTGCAGCAGCATCAAAGGAGGTTGCTGGGACAAGAGGGCCAGCAAGGAACTTCAGTCTCGCCTGCACTACTACAGGAAAGATTCACAGGTCTAGAAACCATGATAGTCTTTTGTCTTGACATGAGAATGTATTCAAAGTACAGACCAATTTATTTACATATATTTATTTACTGTATTGCAGCACTAAAACACTTGTCAACAAGGAGTTTGTCAGCATCAACAGATGGTCCAGATAAACAGGTACTTATTACTGTGTATAATGGTGTTATTTACACATGCCTCTGAGAGGTGTTTTCCGTGTTGAATTTATGGACACAACTACACCTACAATTTACAGTGCATGTCTATAATTTCATCCAAAATAAGACACTTTCTACAATAAAAGTAGAAAATCAGTACGATTATGTTTTGTATTTAAAAAAAGTCTACATGGTCATACATAAGCCTTAAGGTAAAGACTGAATTTTTTCCAAAGACTTTTGTAACGTTCTTTTGATAATGTCTTTTTTCAGATTTCCTAAGACAATCAGGTGTTCATGCAGGACTGTCCTAGCCACTCAATGGAAAACTCAAGCCAGCAGGAATCTAGATCCAACTCAATTTCAAGAGTGTGGCAGATTATGAATAAAGCAATGATAAACACTTCTTTATTCAATTACTAAGTGTTTGTTTCACTGTCTGTTGTTGCCACTCTAATCTGGACCCGACGATGTCAGTCTGTCAGATGAACTTTTTGAACTGTTTGTGTTTTTATGTTTTGTAGGATGGTCCCTGAAGTTTACCATTCTCTCAACTGGATATGTCTTTGATATCGTCCTTTGACTGTTCTCGCTGCTGAAGCAGTTGCTTGGTCAGACTCTCTACCTCTGTGACTTGAGCCAGGAGCTGCGTCATGGCATTGTTCTGATTAAAATAGGAAAGAGAAAATAGATTTGGTTTAAAACTCCTTATGTACAGCCAGTTAAATGGAATTTAAAAAGAGAGTGTGATTATGAGCCAGATGTTTCTTGGCTATAACACTACACACACACACACACACACACACACACACACACACTACACACCAGTTCAAATGATTCATGTTTAAGTACTACAACATACTAACAACATTTCAGCCTGTATAATAGTTATTATATAGATTGAAATGAAATGTTCAGTCATCTGGGTGGACAATGGGGCCAACAATATAATTTAATGATACTTCAAGAAACTTTGACAATAATTCTCAATATTTACTTTTTCTGACATCTGAAGTTGGAATGGGCAAAAAAATGCATGTATAAAAAAAATACTATCAAAATGATTTATGTTTGATGTTCCACATACTGCACTGCTCCAAATCCAATTAAACTGTACTATTTATGCTGTCTTTGTAATACTGCAGATGTCCATAATATACCAAGAAATGCTTATTTTGACATTTTTCAAGATAATGACAAATCTTATTGTACAGTCGTTCTATATAATTAGGCAGTAAAAACAGCTTTTAAAATCTATCCAGATGCATTAAGAGTCCTCAGTTCTTTGCAAAAGCAAACCGATCTATTCTGATCTTGCAACTTAAAAACCCAAGTCTAAAGTAATAAGATCACTGGTATCATGACGATGTCTTGATGCAGGATCTGGGAATCTGACTGGATGGTATACATGTCAAACAGAAAAAAGGCTTAACTCATAGGAATAAATCTGTCCTTGACTGAACTGCAATTGAAATACACAAATACACTCCCTTTGCCAGGCAGTAAAAGTCCTTACCAGATTACTTAAAGACTCATCGGTGGTCGGAATCGAACGGACCATCTTTATTTTCATTTCCAAATTCTCAATGAACTCCACCACCATTCCCATGAGCTCCACCACATACCTACAGTAAAATAATTATGTATATAAAAGCATATACAAGTGACTATTAGGGACAGTAACTGGAACATTTCAAGAGCCATGTAAGCCAAGCAAGATATGATTTCACCTGTTTCTCATTGTCTCATAAGCCCTGCCATGAAATGACTTTTCTTTCAAACTTGTTACACAGGTAAGGAAACAATTAACTTTATATCAGGCATAACTTCATATCAATATACGCCAGACTCTCACCTGTGAAGATCAGCCTGTATTGGCAGGTTCTGCTGACAAAGAGGTTTCATAAGCCTTTGTCGTAAACTTGTCTGCTCTCTCAGCATGTCCTGCAGGTGGGAAGTAAACTGCTGTAAGGATGCAAACCGCTGACCTGTAAAAAGGCAGAAAAATACATAACGTTTCTTGAAGGTTTCAACATTTAAATTCAATACAGTTAGAGTAGTAAGGATGTAACAATTTGAATACAGTATTGAGAAATCAAAAACTACATCAAAATTTAAAACCACATCACCAATACACCCCTCAGTCTCTGCAGGGGGTCTCTCATTTGGTTTTGAGATAACTCCAGCCTTGCCTATTATACATCCTGCATTTTCTTGTTTCATACTCTGACCTGCTAGTCAAGCCTCAGTAGATGCACTTCTGCTCACATAACTGTACGCAGATACTATGGAAAATGCTTTCCATTTACACTTAAATGTGTTAAATGTGGTGAAGAGCCATCTCCGACTACCTCCAAATATGGTTTAAGTGATCCAATTGTAATGGAATCACAGTGTGTTTTAAGGGTGTTTTGCTACTTTGCAATCCTGTGTGATATAAGATCACTGTAGAATAAAGATAGTTTTTTCAGATATCAAAAAATAAAACTGAATCTTGACCTCAGAATTGAAAAATCGTATCGAACCTGAAAATGTCATATATTTACTGCACTTAAAAACAGCGTGTAGCACTTACTGAGATAATAGTTGTGAGTCACATCTGCACTGTTTTTCTCAAGTCTTAGCAGTTCCAAATCCAAACTCACCTGAAAACACAAATATATACATAAATATCAATATACATGTATTACAAGGTATACTTTGTGCTAGAAGTAATTTTACCAGTATCTGATACTGTCCTGGTCCTGGAGATCTACCACCCTGGACAGTTCAGATCCAGCACACCCGGCTCTATTATTCAGATGCCCCTAGGGGCCTTCATTACCAGGAACAGGTGTGATTGACTAGGGTTGGAGCTAAACTCTGCAGGGTGGTAGATCTGCTGGAACAGGACTGGGCGCCCCTGTTGTCGGGAGTCTACAGTTTTCCAACCTGGTCAATCTCATGCTTGATTCTGTTGAACTGCTCAGCTTCAAGCAGGCGAGGGGAAAATACCTCCGGTTCTCGTGGTAAAGCATCGAGCTCTTTCTGTGAACGGAAAAGACTTGTGTCAAACCCCTCAATCTACAAACTGATCAAAAGAAATGTGCTAGTTTGCCTCGTTTCACCTGGGACATTGTGCCAGACGTAACGCATCTCGCCAGGACTTTTGCTGCTGGAGTCACCGAGTACGGATTGGGGTCCCACATATTAAGATATTCCGCGTTACGTGTAACTTTAACTGACGTTTGATTTGAATCTGGTAAAGAAAAAGAAGAGAGCGAGTTAATAAATGGTAGGACTCGTGAATAAAAAAGCCAATGTCCATAGAAATGTTACTTTTAAGCTAGTGACTTCAGGTCGCTAACCACAACAGTAGCTAACAGTTTATAGTAGCAGCCGCTAGCTAAGTTAACGTTATCTGTCCGACAACAAACAAAAACAACACCGCGCAGGTTGGCAGACAAGTGAATATACACACACTTACTTTAAATCTTTGGTTTAAAATATATTTTCAATGCCAGTAAAAAATCTCTAAATGATCAGAGCAAATGTAACCATTATGAAAACTAAAACTCGCCCAGTGCTGCAGCTTTAGCACTTCGCTAACTTCCTGCTTGGCTGGTGCGGCTGATGTTTGAATGAGCCGCCTCACCGCGTCTGTTCATAGCGGAGACGGGAAGCTTGATTCACTTCACTGAACCGACCTCTTCGAACACCCGATTCTATGATTCTTTTTTGTGATCCCACACCGATTATCGATTATTATTGCCTTTATAAAGGGGTTACAGGAACAATTAACCACTTTTTTGTTTGCTAACTATTTTGGAGTTGATCTCTTCTAGACTTGAAAAGAAAGATTGGTAAAGAAGTTCCCCTTAAAAGCCACTATGTTTAATTCATTTTATTGGTGACACTGTATTTAACCCCGATGAACACTTTATAATAAACTTGACCATAATAACAGCTAAATTTTACATACATAATGATGAAATTTGCCATGAAAATAATTTTACATGTGCACTTTGTACAAACAGATCTGTGAACTTGCGTCTGCAGCAAAACAAGACATTGTGTAAATCAATGGTTGTGTTTAAGCTTTTTAGTTTTATTTATATCCCAAATGTTTTTCTTTTTTATTGTCTTTTATTTTTTCCTCTGTTGATGTTTCACAACGTTACAGTCTACCGATATTACTGTGTGATGTTTCTGTCGTGAAAGTATGAACTTTCGAAAAAGTCATTCGGTCTGGTGAATCGGTTAAAAACACGACGCTTTCGCGAGTCGGTCATCGCTGGTTCTTAGCGCTGAGTCTGCGCGGCTCTCTCTCCCTCTATGAGCTTCATCGGCTCCGCTTGTGCTTTATTTTATACCGCCGAACTCCGGTCATGTCTTCATTGTTCGTTTCTCACGCTACCATAAATAATGATGTAAATACGCACACATGAAGTCAAATTCGCGCCACTAAATGTTAAATTGTAATAAAGTAAAATTATGAATTACCTTTTGTCCGTATGATTAGTGGTCAACTTCTCTAATCAAATGCTCTCAGGCGAAATTCGTAAAAAATGCGAGCCCAAAAACAGACTAGTTAGCTAGCAAACACTGAACACGCTCCGATGGCGCTGATATTAGGCGCTGTACGGTAAGTAAACGGGTCAAACAATGACAACACCGTCCCGATAGGAAGGGAATCACAAATGTCACGACGGAGCGCACAGTGGTTTCCTGTACTAAAGTAGGCTGCAGCAGGGCTGCTAGAAAGTGCCAAATTAGCCCCAGACCGCAGTGTTTGTAAACTCACTCAGCCCGAGGATGGCGGCTGCAGCTCGTATAGCCGCTATAGGCGGGCCGGTGTCCACTCTGTCCCGGTTCCGCGGCGCCCTCGTCGGGGCTGTGCTGGGAGACTGTGTGGGCGGCGAGTTTGAAGGAGCTGAGGATGTTCCCCTCGACCGGGTCCTTCAGCATCTCAGCGGGCTTGAGGACGACACACGGGGAGACGGTGCGTGTTTTTGTCTAGTAAACAGATTCAGGGACGTGCTGCAGCGTGTCTGCACATACCCTATCAAAACTGTACTACGTAGGCCGTGTTTTGCCGCTAAAACAGGTCAAAGCGGTTAACAGATTAATTACAGCCCCGTGTGCAACAGTTTGTGGCCTTTATTTTACTTTTCTGCTTTTAAATCGACGGTTCATCGAAAATTTAAATTCAGTCAGTTTTACCCTAAAGTCGATCAGCTCAGACATGATCGGGGTCTTTAGTTTGTTTCTTCAGTTTTGCTCTGGAGCTACAAGGCTAATGTAATATAAGTCTGTATCACCTAAAATGATTTTGGGCTAAACAGACTTCCATTGTAATGGACAGATGTTTAGATTTTTTTGATACTTCAGACCAATATTTGATGATTATTTATTATACTCCAGAAAGGGCAACACTGTCCTGCTGCGCTAAAATGTCTGTGTTTTAGTCAATTTATTAAATTTGTAACCTTAAATTTAATTAAAATGTAATAAATTTCTCCCTAAAGCTAATCCAGGTAGATGTAGTCCCACTCTTTACAGTGGATAAATATTTGTGTAGCTACATTTTAGCTACATTTACCTTAGCTCTAGTGCAAATCTAAACTTTGGACACCAAACATGTCTTGGTCAACTGACTACATTTGGGGTGATGGGGAAAATTTAGTACATTTGATTCTTCAGTGAACTGCTCCAGCTTATGAAGCATCATTAAGTCGACTTTCTCCTCAGGCATACTACAGTACAGTGATGACACGGCCATGATGCGCTGTGTGGCCCATTCGCTTCTGACCAGGACGGGGTTTGATGAGCAAGACATGGCACGCAGGTACTTCCAGATGTGGCATCAGTGTCAAGACTGTGCTTGATGTTTTTTGTTGTGTATTGACTCTCTTGTGCTCATCCTCACTTCAATTACAGATTTGCAAAAGAGTACAACCTTGCCCCGGGCCGTGGGTACGGATCAGGGGTCATTCAGGTCCTGCGGAAGCTTGCGTCTCCTCAGCTCAGCGATGTCTTTCAACCAGCACGGGCCCAGTTCGGTGGGCGTGGGTCGTTCGGGAATGGCGGAGCGATGAGAGCAGCACCTTTCGCCCTTGCCTTTAGAAATGCTGCTGACGTGCGGCAGGTGAGGCCAGTGTCTAAATCTTACCTTCAGATTTAGAATAGGAACAAGACACTGAAGTGATTTTTACTGAGCAAGATCATTTATGGTTTATAATAAATCAGGCTTGATGACCTCTCCTCCATTAAAATGGTTCTTTGTCCAGGAGACTCAAAGTGAAATTCTGTAGAAAGAGCAAGATAACAAAAAAAACCTACATAATACCCGTATACTGAAATTCTAAGTATAACTCCTATGCTATGATTACATTACGATAGTGGAGAGACAATGGTAAACTGGATATTCCATGTCTTTCAGTGGAGCAGTGATGGAAAAATCTGCAGAACACCGCAGTATTCAGTGGAATTAGTTTTGGGTTTCAGTATGGCCAAAAAATTATATTACAATATGATTCAAATGTGGCAGGTTTGGTATATATCACAGTGTATATATATCATATCATATCATATATATTGGGAGTGGGTAAGTGCAGCGCCCGGACAGTCTGTGACAGCACACAACAAAAACACTACTGGATGAGTGAGAAATCCGACCGGTTCCCTCTGCATTAAAAGCCAGGTTAGATCAGGAGTCACAACCCAAATGATAAGAAGAGCCATTTTGTCCTTTCAACAAAAATCAAACCACCTTGAGAGCCACAACATTTTATTTCCAGTATGTCTCAGTATGTGATAATGTCCTAGTATAGACTAAACAATATAAACGAGAGCGCAGATTTACTCTGCCCTGCTTTAAGCTTCGCCTACAGCCGCTTTCCTCCCATTTCTGCCAGAAAACTTTTCCTCAGAAGTAGATCAGTTTCTTGTGAAATGTCTCTCAACATTTGGCTGTCTTATGAGGCTGAAGTCGCTTCTCATTCTCCAGCTTCTTATTTGAATTTTCCCGTTCTACCTTAAATTCTGACTGAGGCGCCGAATGTAAATGCAGCACCATTTAAGGTGGAACGAGAAAATTCGGAAGAGAAGTGACTTCATCTTTGCGACTTTTTACTGTTTGACAGTCTCTCGTTGCAGATTTAACGTACCAGGAAACCAACTGCGCTGCTTATAAATGCAAATAACGCATCGTTGCTATGTGACCTGCAGTCCGCACGCCGGTTCTCAGTTGTTGCGAAACAGGGCTTTCGCACTATGTTTCACATGTCCCGTCTCGAAGATATTTTACTGACACAGCGATCCCCCCCACCCCTTTCTCTACAACGAGACCAAAACCAAAATTATAAAGTCACTAAAAACAGGTAGGACAGCTGTAACTCGCTGTGTAGACATTCATTACCACTGGATCTTATTTCACCGTAACTGCGCATTTTATCGCAGATGAGTGGCAGCAGCATCTCGTGCTCCAAAGGCAGTGAATGAGAGTCTTCCAGTTCACTTGCCTCATCACTTCCATTTGATTTATTAATAAAAGATATTGGAAGTAAATTCATTATGGATCATTACAAATCACATATGTTCTTTTTCAAGTAAAACCATTTTATATGGTTAAGTAAACCTATTTTTGTAGGCTAACAGGGGCTTATTCTGGGATGTCCCTTCACTTTTAAATAAAAAACATTTTTAACTATCAGAGTTAATCTGAAATATTTTATTGTGCAAAATAATAAAAACAAAACTGATAAATATAGATAAACCTATATTAATGTCAGTATTGCTTTCTAATACAGCAAAACGGTGCTAAATGATATTTTGAGACTTAATTTCCGAAGTTGGCTTCTTATTCAAATTTTCTATTCCACCTTAAATAGAGCAACAGTGATACTGGCACCTGTACAGGTGATGTAGTGTAACTGCTACACCATTTAAGGTGAAACAGGAAATTTAACTAAGAAGCCAACTTCACATTTGTCGAATTTCCCAGGTTGTTTGTCTCAAATATGTGTCCCTATACTTCTGCCTCAGGCATACTACAGAATGTTGTGTGATGCAGCTGATGGAGGCAGGCAGCTACTTTTAGGCAGTACATGAGGAAACAGAAGCATTCTGGTGTCCATATTAGGCAAGAGCTAACTCTAAAATCCCTGGCTCAGCTGTTCAGACGAACAGGCTAACGTTAGCATGTTTTGTACTGCTTGTATGTTGCTAAACTGTGCTTATTTGTGGCAAACAGGTATAAGTCTTGTGGCAAAACTCATACCTGAGTAAGGATTTCAATTGGTATAATGCCCACTACTAAATGGAACATGGACAGTGAAAGCTTGTAGACAGTCCAGTTAATCCACAAGAAAAAACAAACATTAAGGAAACCACATATACTGTAATATGCTGAGAAACATTCAAAAACATTTTACAAGATGACATATGCATAATGCCATCACCTCAATAACTTGACGCATTAATACAGAATTCAGTTGATTTTACATCAGGTTGGCAACTTAGCCAATCAAAAATTAGAGATGGAACTAACCTTTTCTTTTTCCCCTGTCTTCTGTTGTGTCTCTTGCAGTACTCAAGGCTAGGTGCAATGCTCACCCACTCGTGCTCTCTGGGCTACAATG